GAACAGCATAAAGAATTCACAGTGGAAGCGTTAGTGCTTGTAGTGCTAGCTGCATCTGTAAAGTAAAGGACCCATTTTCAAACTTTTGAGTGTATTGGGTGTGTGCCAACTTCATATTTATAGAAATGGGAGATGCTGTAACCATCACTCGGACCGATTCTAATTATCAGAAATGTTGCAGTTATCCACTTTTAGGCTGGAATTCAGGTTTGCGTGGTAAAAAGCGGGCTAATGGATCTGCTGCCGCCTCCCTTCTGGACGATGAGCTACTTTATGATAAAGCGGACGAGGTGAAGGCTCTCTATGATCAAACTTACAGTTTAATATCATAGAGCAGACAGAGAATCCATACATTGAAAGATTCATTTAACGGAGGACGAGTAGAAGTTTTAAAAGATATTTATACTGAAGGAGAAAAAGCGGACTTTGAAACAGGTTGCAACTGATACTGTTAGTATATCGACACTTCGTTGGCTACTGACAAAATGGAATGTCCAGGGACTCAAACCGCCAGTGCGTATGGATTTCTTAACGTCAAAGACAAGTTTCCAGGTTTCTAACTCCACAGATTTGTAGATGAATTACTGATGATGTTATTAATGTAATGCTTATTCCTTTATTTTCCTGAAAATTTTAGGTTATTCACTTTTATGCCTCACATCATGGAGCCAAAATCATTAAAAAAAAAGGTCAACATAAATTTGGTTCGAACCGGCGATCATCGCTTTAGCAGGCAAGCCCGCTGACATACTGCGGCGCCGTGTAGTTATTCTTAAGCATTGTATCCTTCAGTGGAGCATAGCCTCTCAGCCAGTTCACGCCAAGTCGTCCCTATCCTTTATTTGCGCATGCAGATTATCGCATGTCTTCTCCATCTGTTTAATCATTATCAGTTCTCATTATGCCTAGTGGCACACGAGACTTCGGAGAGGACTTTCCATGCTTTCCTGTCCTGTGCAACCTTCAGTTTAATGTTACTCTCTTATTTCCTTTTTTATGTGTTTTTGTCTACCTTTATTTCTATGCTCCTATGAGTCCTACTGTAAAGACATTCTAGGTAGGTTGTTCTCACGTTTTCTCAACGTATGTCTTATAAAACCATAGAGAATATTTGCTTACAACAGATATCTGCATAGATTAATAATATTGCGTGGCGCAGCGATTAGAACCCAGTCATACATATGAGTTGTCTTAATGCAGATTTAAATCTATGTAGTTGTTTACTCAAATCTGGAATTAAAGAAAAAGACGTCTGTTTACCTGAAATAATTTCAACACAGATAGCGTGACTGCATAAAAGGTATTGCTATTTTTAACCTGCAACACCCTGAATGTTTCAATGTCAAATCCCTCGTTTCAAATACAAGGTGAGCTTACTAGGATCATTGTAAATTACCTTAACAGTGCCTTCTGCGCAAGATCTTACGCCTCAACGGGTTTTGTTGATTCAGGGGAAATTTAACACAGAAAAAACAGTAACGTCTAAAATAGAAATTGCAACATATAAGAGAAGTGAAGATACAATCTGAAAGGATTTGCGTGGAAATTTAAGTCAATATCTTTTTTTTTTTTAAATTTAGAATAAACTATATTACCTAATTAATCAGGAGCTGCAAGAAATGTACATTTCACCAAGAAGACAAATAAATAGCTCCAGATAGGCATGCTTTTTCAATTATACCAAAGATGATTTTGGGTGTTTATAATTAACACAACTAACAGGCATAACAATAAATAACCAGCTATTTAGCTAGAAATCTTATTTGTTGTTGTCCTGGCAGGCCAGACTGAATGATTTCGGGGGCCGAACATTCCCCGTCTATGTTTCAGGAATTGGTACTGAACTCATACATGTTGCCTTCATAATCTTCATCATCATCATCCAGGTGCCGTGCTGGTAAGCGAAAGCAGTCATGTTTCACCATTTCACACGATCACCAGAATCATTAAACTAGTTCGATTTTTTTTTGCTCTACTATCTGGCCAGGCCAACCAGGCATTTATCTCTTTGCCTTCCTCTTGCTCTCATCCCGAGGAGGCTGCGTGGTCTCAAGGCATGGTGTTCGCCTCTAGGTTTCGGGTTCAATCCCCGGTAAGGACTGGGATTTTTTTTACGTGGACTTGGACTTTATTAATTCCCTGTAGTGTCTGGGTAGTGAGAAAAGATGCCCGTGTGCATTGTTGCGCACATAAAAAAATCCCTTGGCAGTTGGAAATCGAAAAGAGAAGCCTAACCGCGCTGCCCGGGCAGAATGTGTAGTTGAAAACCTATCCAAAATATTTCAGGATCCTCGCCGATGCTACAGAGCCTGTGCACGTGTGTTGAGCTTCTTCGGACTCAGACTAGAGTTAGAAGAAGAACGTAACATTTATGAGTTACCACCCGTGTGCCATGATGTTGATACGTTGTTCAAACTTCAAACTTGCTCTCATTCCGTCAATCCCGCCAGTTGTTACCTAAGTTATCGAGTCCATGTCTTCTCATTATGTGTCTAATAACGTAGCCTGGTCTCTCTTAGCAGCCATTCGCCTGCCGAGAGCGTCGAACAAAGCACAAACTCCAGAGCTCTAGCGACGATCCCTCAGGAATCTCCGTCAAAACCGCACCCGCTTAGTCTTAGTCGAGGTTTCAACTTCACTGCAATTGGGTCACCCAGGCTTACTCCGTTCCAGTTCAAATCAAATGAAATATCCCTCGCTGTTCCATCTGAAAAACTTGTGAACAAACAATTAGTCCCGGCTCAGTTCAGAAATATGTTCAAGCAGTAAATGCATATGGCAGTTGTCAGAGGCGCCAAAGCCAACAGTTGCCACCAGAAATGCAGTTTATCGTTGACGATAGTAGTCGGTCACAATAGGTTGGCTATACACACATAATGTATACCACCAGCCCACAGGCAAAGCGGCTACCGGCCACGTTGATTACCTAGAAAAGATATAAAACCGAACGAAAAATATAGTAGCAAGCTTCACAATACAACAAATGCAAACTCTAGTCACTGCACAAATGAGAGACATAGTATAACAGTACCATCACCATCATCATCAGGTGCCTTGCCGACGGGCGTGTGTGATCATGCCTCTCCACAATCTGCGATTTCCTGCAGCGTGTATTAGTTCGTGTGCTCACACACCTCCATGCCATGCAACACGACTGTCAAGAATCTTCTCTCTTTGTCTTTCTCTATTCATCCTTCCACAGACCTTTCCAGTGGTCACTACATGCTCCATTCTCCCTCTACTCATAACATGGCCGAAAAATGATGACTGTCTCCTTCTGATGCTTGTGATAAGTTGTCTTCGGGCTCCTGCCTTATTCAAAACTTCTTGGTGGCTCTTTTTGGCTGTCCTAGGTATTTTAAGCATTCTTTTGTAAAACCACATCTCTGAGGCCTCAGGAAATGGTTTGGCCTGCCTACCGATTGTCCAGGATTCACAACCATATGTTAAAACTGGATGTATGTAGCAAGCCTTTAATGACACAGACATATTGCATTAGATGTACTTTATTTTATAAAATGAAGTTACTGCCTGACCTATTCTGTTTCTTATCTCAGTTTCTTATCATCAGTAATCTGATGTTATCCATGTGCCTAGATACCTAAATTTCTATTCTTGTCTCAAAATAACACAAATGACTTTTATTACACATTAAGGAATAAATCTTTTCTTTGTTGCTATCAAACAACAGTACATTTTTATGAAAACTACTGCTGCTACTATACACGCAGAGTAAAACCTCGATACGTGTCAGGAATTCACGTTTAAAATGTGTGATAACCAGGGACTAACAGATGTTTATAAACAATACCTCCCCGCTGGGACCAACATTGTGTTCATGTTAACAGAGTGTTCGTCTTAAACGAGTTCGCATATGTATGTACATGCATGTTTGTATGTGTTTGTATATGTATGTATACACACACACACATATATATATATATATATATATATATATATATATATATATATATATATATATATATACATATATACACACATACAAACATGCATGCGTGTGTATATGTATATATGTATGTATAATTACGCACTTAAACAATGCTTAGAGCCAACAACGCTTCCAACATTTGATGGGGGTCGGATGAATGAGGCTCCCTCCCTTTATATTTTCTTTGTGCTGGTACCCCTCGCCATGTGTCTACACATATACACATACATACAAGTAACTGCGTTTCGGCTTTACTATTCAGGCAAAAGAAAAGACTAAACAAAAGAAAAGTTCACCCTACGTTGTTGGAAACCTGTGTTCACCTTTTAACCTTTAACTTGATAACACTAGAAGACAAAGGGAAAGGTGAACTGAACAAACCATTCATTTGAAGATCATTTTCAGAAATTGTTTAATTATTATCACTTCACATTTTCTACTAAAGTAAAATATATCAAGTTTTGTTTGTATTTTTAGACTGTAGAAAATATTTTTGTAAACATATTTCTGCCCTTTTATTTAACCTTTCTGATGTAACATGAGAAGATAAATTGATAAATGAGGAAAAAACAAATTCCTTGTAGTAAAAACAAAGTTGGGTAATATGTATTAGGAAAAATAGTTCTCAAGTTTTCAAATACATTTAAAGTTTATATTTAGTTAGAAAATGTTTATAAATTTTTAAAATATCGGTACTAGATCATTATTGGTAGAATGGAAAGATTTGATTCGTGGCGAGAGGTGCGAGTTTTGAAAAATTCCAGTTTTGACTCTGTTTTGTAATCTGCCGACCTTAGCCCCTACTCTCAAAGACGACTTGCACCGCCGCAGGGACAACACTAGACCCCCCGGACAACCAGCAAAAATGTCTTTTCTGCCGAAATTCTAGACTTAGCAGAGGTTAATCTAGTGATTTGCTACTCAGAGACAAAGGAGGAAGCTGCGAGGACTGATTGCGTGAGACGGATTTCGCCGCTGTCCTCTAGAGGTGACTGTTGTTACACACGTGCGAGAAGAAGGACCAGACGATCAGCAGACTTGAGAAGCGGACATGGCAGGGATTACTGCAGCTGATGACCAGCAGGAGGCTTCCCCCACTAATCATTGCTGTTCTGGCGACAATGGACATCACAAAACTACTACAGAAAACTTGGTTAACGGTCATGGTAAGTACTGGTTTTATTCTGAATATGTCTCTCCCGATTTTCTCATCGATTTGTAAGAAAGTTGGCCGGCTGTTCACTTCATGTGTCTATGTGAACTATGTCTGAGTCTGGTCTTTCACGTAATTGTAGTAAGTAAACATAGAATGAGACCGTTATTTCATCTTATCCTAGCGATGTGTTGAAAGAAATATTTGTATTTGTATGTCATCAGTTAAAATATTTAAGAAACGTAATTGAAGGATAATAATTCGGACAGTACGTTGTCTGCATCCTGTGTTATCTGTTATGTAACTAACTTAACTAGGGCAGATCGGAGTTTCATGCATGTGAACTTAGTTGGGAAATTGGATATTTCTGACTTTGTAAGGATTTTATTATTTATATGATTAAGTTTTCTCACTAAGTGAAGTCTGAAGAAGACACAGTTTGAGGTTTGAAATGGAAGAAATAGCAACAGGCAGTAGAAAGTTAGCTGTGCCTAATCCATGTGTATGACCTATTTATTTCAAGGTCATGGGGTTAGAGTCTGACCCCTGGACCTGAACATGTGCTAGAACAGTTTCTGGGGAAGTCAATGCAGAACTGACCTGCTTGCTCTCATTTATTTTAAATGTAGCACACTTGCATCTTTTCATTTTTAATTCTGTCAACAATTTATTTCTGATATAAATTATAATTTATATGTGTAACGGTTTGTAAAATTCTTAATAAAATAGTATTTACTATATGTAATGCCCAGCTTTAGTGTTAGTACTTTGGCACACAAAAGACATATCTGTAGCGGTTCACAGTACATTGACAGACATATGTGGATGACCTAAGGAAACCATCCCATAGGATAGTAGAAACAGCAGTTATTTGCACCTGAAGAACAGCTCTCTGATGATGGACAGTCACAATATCTGTCAAATCATATGATGTGGGGAAAAATATTTTGAGGACCTAAGATCACCAAGGAAACCACCCTGAAACTAAATGAGTAAATGGCAGTAGAAGTAGAAAGGAAAATTAAGATCTACAGTAATAATACTCTGGATGTAATGGGCAGACTGGTAGCAATGGAGAGATCCCTTGCTTTTGTGGCAACAACAGTGTGTGACTGTGAAAGTTGTATAGTACCTGTTTTTAACCTTTGTTGGTTCCAGAACCATACTTGTGTAACCATCGTCAATTCCTCAGCATAAGCTTTTAACCTGTATTCTCAAAGACCAATCAGCTCTTGACCTGTGATGTGGTCATAATCATTCCTGCCACCTTTACTACTTTCTGAGATATTTTCTGATGCCCATTGAAGGCTCTATCAAAGCCAAGGTCAGTTCTACAAATCCATCTGGATGTAGATTTGAACCCAACTAGGCTGATAGACAAGCTTCCAGACAATGAACCGTTATCCACAATATGCCCTGACCTATATATTTCATTGGTGTAAATCTAACCAATTTGGGAAGGAAAGCATATATGTTTATGGCGTAAAATCAATCTATGTATACAATGACCACCAGTTGTGAGCTTAAAAAGATTTGGAAGTGGGGGGGGGGAATATATATATATATAGCCTGTACTTGTCTTCTTCTTCTTCGTGTTCACCAGCTGTACACTCTGGCGGAAAGTTCTGGTTGCTCGTCCACTACTGAACTGCAGTCCTGCTCTAGAACCTGTCCTTGACATTCTCTTGAAGTTTTTCGCCAGTGACACAGATGAGTATCAGTTTTACAGATCTCATTCTCTTGAATACAGACTGTTGGTTCCTTGCCTCTCCGGCAGATGCACTCCGACTTCAAAGGAAGCTCCCCAATTAGTCGACTCTTACGACATGCTTTTGGGGAGGCAGTGGGTTTATTCTTGTATTCTCCTACAATGGGTCCACGGAACCCACATGGGGGAGGGGTGGGGGGGTGGTTGTGCTTGTAAAACTTAGGTTCTGGATCAAGACCAAAGTCAAGGAAGTAGACGAACAACCAGAACTTTCTATCCAAGTTTTCACTCTGGGGACGCAAAAACTCTGGATCGTTGATGGACTAGAACATTGTTGAAGCAAAAAAAAAACATTTATCAGCTGTTCAGCTTTATTGATGTTTGTGTTTAAGATTACTTAATGTAATATTTGTCAGTGTGCCTGAGCCAACTGTATGCACTGAGCCACGAAGAGGAGTGCATTGGGTACTTTCATTTTAGCTCACCTCACACATGTTTAACCCTGGAATCCCTGGAAAAGTCCAATATTATAGAGATGTTAGTGATAGTCAAGTGTTCATTTCAAACAACATCACCACTATAACATTGGAATTTCTCCAGGATGCAGGGGTTCCTCTTGATTGGGGTGAGCTAAAATGAAAGGACTATTATGCATTGCAGTCTTATACATTGAAAAATATTGTACTTTTAAGTCAGGAAGCTTACACAGCTGGAAAACAAATTATATTAATGTCAGCATAATTGAAGTATCAGATGGCAGAACATTTTAGAGCAATGATCACGCTTGCCTGCCCCTGAAGATCACTCTTTTGGCAGCGTGTGCTTGGGGGTAAACTTTATTGCTGATTCATAGTGAGTTTATGATGTGAACAAGCTGCTGCTGAATTATAATCTCCCTGTAACACAATGTCCCTTATTATTTCCCTGTAACACAATGTCCTACAGATGTCTGGTTAGCTACTAAATATATTGTTTTATATTTACACAAAGTGGGAAAAGTTGAGTTGTGCATAAGTTGAATGTTCTACAAACATGTATAAGCAGTATTTAGTAGCAAGCTATTTTGTAAGTTTGACACATGTTCTGTTGGAATCTGGGATTAATCATGTGGGAATATAATCATGTGTGTAAAAAAGGGGGGGGGGGGGCTTGGCTAGACCCAAGCATGTTATAAAAGATGACCAGTTAAATGTTTGCTCACATCTATTGTGTTGGGCTGAAGAGCATAGGTATCACTATATTAGCAATTCTATTTATCCAATAATATAGCCATCCTTTACCCATCTATTTATCTACCCACCCATCTATCTCACCATCCACTCATCCCACCATCCACCCATGCTATTTTTCCATTGCTGTCTTACATTCTAGTTTTTACTATTTCTGTGCTTGGTTCGACTGATACTTTGTATAATAATCCTCTCACTGTCTCGATTTCATAGCTGACAGTAAGAGAGAAGCATTGTGTCTTATGACCCTTTTTTTTATTACCTTATTTCATATACTGGCACACACATAGGCAGATCCATCCATCCATTATACTTTCCATCCATCCACGGGTATAGCCATCCATCATTCCGTCTGTCTACCCGCCCATCTATCCCACCACCCATCTATCCCACCACCCACTCATCCATTCACCCCACGATCTATCTATCTATCTGTCTATCAGCATGCCTGTCTGCTGCCTGCCTGTCTGTTTGTTGGTATTTGTTCGCTAGTACAGGCATCCCTTTAATTCCATGTGGATGGACCAATGTCATCCCCACTACCCAACCCTGGTTACGCCTTATTGGCCAACCGCTCCCTCCCTCTTTAGACACTCGGTGTACGCTATTGTTTGTGGGCGTCTACTCGGTCCATTTCCTAGGTACATTGACCCCGGTTTTAACTCCCTGTCCGTGCATTAGTGATATAAAAGCTAGTACCTGTCCTTGACATCCTCTTGAAGTTTTTCGACAGGGACACAGATGAGTATCAGTTATTTTGTAGAGTCCTATGTAGTCACTCCATAGTTAGAGCATATTTGTGTATGTGTACTGTGTTGTTCTTTATATGCTGAAGAAGGCTAATCGCCGCAACGTCTTTTGTTTATTGTGATCGATTTTGTAAAGCTAACTAAACTGTTTGTTCTTTCTTACCATCTTTTTCTCTTCCCTATAATTTCCTACCCCTTTAAAAACTAGCTGTAAACTGCAACACAGGCTGCCGACCACTCTTTTAAGGAATGAGCGCAGACGATGAATCGCGACATAAACATTCTATTATTTGTGGGCTGTTGCTAAGTCTTGCTAGAGCACTCTGATTTTGAACTGTTCATTCTTCAGTTTGAGAAATGTAAATTTATAATTTAGTTCCACCCTTGCTGGCAAGGCAAGCAAGATACTTATTTATTAGCACTGACACCCAAGTTGAGTGGGGTGTTGGTGCTATAGACAATGCAAATTTTTCCATTATAATAATGAATGCCAGAGATAATCACAGGAGTGTCGCTAATCGACTGCGGGCTAGTCTGGCTAACAAATGTCCCAAAAATTCCTTTCTTGAGAAGGAATAAGCTCAAACCTGGTGATCCCATTTTTGAGTTCCCATGCAGTTTTGGGGCAGAACAAAAATAGACCCACTGCGTCATATACAAGCCTGTCCCCCGTGTGGGTTCCGGGGCCCCATTGTGGGGAAAACAAGAATAGACCCACTGCCTCCCCAAAAGCATGTCGTAAGAGTCGACTAATTGGGGAGCTTCCTTTGAAGTCGGAGTGCATCTGCCGGAGAGGCAAGGAACCACAGTGTGTATTCAAGAGAATGAGATCTGTAAAACTGATGCACACGCAACACTCAGCTTCTGGAGCAGGACTGCAGTTCAGTAGTGGATGAGCAACCAGAACCTTCCGCCAGAGTTTACAGCTGGTGAACGCGAAGAAGAAGAAGAAGATATACAAGCCTGTCATAACAAGCAACTAATTAGAAATTTGTATCTGAAGTCAAAGTACATCTGCCTGAAAGTGTACAAATCAGTCAGCTCTATATTGATGTGCATGCAAAATTCAAGTTCTTGATCAAGACCAAAGTCCAGGAGTGGATGATCACTATCTACCAAATTTTACAGTCTGAGAACACAAAATGGCAAAAGAAACCTTGTGACAGCTGGCTTTCTTGATAGAAAAGGAGCAGCGGGAAGACAGATATCTGGATGGTTATAGATTTTAAACAAGGCAGATACAAATACAATTGATCTGGCCTTCTGCCTAAACTTGGAACCAGAAAATTGTCCTGAAAAGTGAAGGTAGCCCCTGTGATATTGACATCGTCTGAGTGCTGGTCTCTGGCACCATATGTCTAAAGGTCATGTAAACAGGACAATTTTTTTTTTCGACGAGCAGAATGCAGAGGCAGCATTGACAGCACAGGGGATATAAGCTGGGACCCATTTAAATAAAAGATAAAAACATTGGCCAATAAGAGAGAAATGAAAAGTTTGCCCTGAAAGCTCTGATCAGTGAGGGGATTAAAGTTGACAATGTTGTATTTTACAAGCAAGGTTTAGCATATGGTGATACCAGGCTGCAGGATTAAACTGCAGGTGGTCTGTACAGCAACACCTGCTCCGGGCAGTTGTGCTAGAATGAACAAGGGAGGGAAATCTTAGTCTCATATCTTTTGATAACTTTGTGATGTTCTTGATTTTTACATCGGAGTTGAGATTGTGTTGTTAAGCAAAACAGTATTACATTTACTTCCTTATCTAAATAGAGCATAGACCCTCACCAACTCATCAAGACGGACCTTTTTCCCCCCATGTTTACTCTAGGGCCCCATTTTGGGGAGGAAGAGAGCAGACACTGCCCCTTAACATACTTCAGTAAATACATTAAGAGTTTGCTGAAATCATGTGTTGGGGGAAAGGTGCAGATTTCTCATCCGCGCTGTAAACCGCAACATAGTGATCCCCCCCCTCCCCCCTCAGCAACATCATAGAAGTCTTGATATTTTACCGACTGCAGTTTTTTTAAATACCATGCTGAGATTTCTGTCACTGAATCTGTTTTAGGTGAAGGTTTGAAAGAAATCATCCTGGAGGACATGACGAATACAACACTGAAGGAACACCAGACATCCAAGGAAAGTGCAGAGAATGTTGTTGTGGTGGCTGGTAAAGCTGAAGAGGAGGCAACTGAACAGAAAGATGACGATGATGACAAGGATAAAGAAGTTTTACTTATCCAAGACACAGGCTTCAATATTAAAATTGTCGCACCAAATCTAGAGCCTTTTGAATTGCCAGTAAGTACTTCTCCCCCATCTCATTCTGCTATTATTAACAAGGCAATACTATTTGATTATGTGTTTCACATAGTGTTTCTGTGTGTATATGTGTATGTGTGCACCTTAGGTTCTGCAACAAGACTAAAGTCTAGAGGTGGATGAATAACCAAAACTTTCCACTTGAGTTTACAACCAGTGAACGCTAAGAAAAAGAAGCGTCATATTTTGAAGAGGCATCTAGTGTGAGCTTTGGTAGGTGCTGGTATTTACAGCCGTAGATATTCCATCAATCCGTGGCTTAGTTGTCAACCTCTTGCTCAGCTTTCTGACAGGGCTTTAATTGGTTAATGTCCATGTTAGTTCTGGTAACACAATGATGGTAAAAATACAGTATTGAATAGAGCTCTTCCTGTGTGGGTTCTGGGGTTACATTGTGGGGAAAACAAAAATAGACCCACTACCTACTCAGAAACATGTTGTAAAAGTCAACAAATTAGGTGCTTTCTTCTAATGGGCTTTGATTGCCGTTTTTACCCATACATTGGGGGTGGGCTGATGTGAGCCAGACTGGGCTCTGCATCTCTCAAGTCCACCAACTCTGAGATCCCCTGCCAACTTGGTTCAGGTTACAAAGGTAAGCAGGAGTCTAGCGTGAGGATCCATAAAACCACACCAGAGCTAGCTGGTACCCGAGGTGAGGTACAGAGTACTCCATATGCACATCACAGCAGCCTTAAATTTCTCGCAGATTTGAACACAGGATCTTGGAGCCAGCAGGTAAATGTTTAGACATTGCACTACAGTTGCTCCCAGTGTATACAAGATCCAGCATGTTTGGCCATATTTCTTTAGTATTGTCAGACCAAACACGTAGAAACAGCATATCTTAAATGATACCAAGGCTTTAGTTGATCACACGTCACACACTACCCATTACCTATGATAGAGTTAACTGACATTTTTTGGGATCTTTCTTGGCAGTAATGTATCTTAAATTTTTTTTTAGGTCAGTTCCATGGAACTTGTACAAGAGATCCACCAGGTTCTGATGGACAGGGAGGACACTTGTCATCGGACCTGCTTCTCTCTACAGCTTGATGGAGTGACCTTGGACAATTTCTCCGAGTTGAAAGCTATTGAAGGCCTGAAGGAGGGGTCTGTGGTTCGAGTTATTGAGGGTATGATCTGCTTAAATGATTGGAATGTTTATCTTATGGTCTGTGTGATGAAACTGAAAGCAGTGAAGTGTGGTTTATGAGAAGATTGTTTTATTTTAAAGGGAAATAAGAATGCGCCAGTACTGAAGGTAACTGCTTACAAGATGTACAGAAATGAACAGGAAAGACAACTGAGAAAAGATGCTAGATATAGAGAAAGAAAAATGTATAGGGAAAGTTTCAACAGTTGAACGGTAATTATAAGACAAGAATAATAGTAAAATCAACTCACCATGCTTATCTTAGGAAGGATTTAGCTTGAGAATCCAACCAGTTATGGATAAATCTATAAGTAAAACAGGTTGGTTGAGGACTGTTCTGCACTGGGGAAAACAGGAATGCACATCTTTGTTTACAATTCTTGTGCATTTATTGTTTCTGCTCATTAGAAATGTATATTGACGATGCTGTCATATTTATGCTTATATTGTGATATTGTTCTTTACACGATTCTATATTTTTGTTTTATAATTTCAGAGCCATACACTGTCCGCGAAGCTAGGATCCACGTCCGTCATGTCCGTGACCTGATGAAGTCAGTGGACCAGGCTGATGCTTACAACGGAGTTGACTGCTCCTCACTGTCAGCTCTGAATACCATCACTCTGGGAGACATTCTTGGTAAGATTTGCCTGTAGTTGATTTAAGAGTTGTGAAATGTCCAGTCAGAGGGTTTGCATCCTCATGCGCAATATTTCAGTCAACTTAAGGGCACAGCATGTACTTCCATGGAGCCGTCATGGTGTAGCAGCTGGGCGCTCACCTGCGGATCCGAAGGTAGTGGGTTTAAATCTTAACGGAACTGTTTTTTTTTTTCTTTATAAAATAACCTTAGCTGTCAGTGGGATCAAGTTTAAATAGGTACCAGGTAAAGTATTGGGAAGTAGAGTCTGCCTGCATGATGTTGACCGGTTCCCCCACTGAGTGCTGGGGACCACCAAATTTAGGCCTAGCAATATCTGCCCAATATGCCTTCAGGTGTGGAAGAGGGTCCTTTTCCCATAGCTCTAATTCAAGCAAAATTAGTATTATTTAGGCAAGTTGCCTGGTACCAGTGATGACCTCAAGTGCACTCTCCTGTTCAGGATCTGCAGATCCAAACTACAAGGTATGATTGACAATATTTGGGCAAAATTAGACTGCCTTCTTTTTCCTTTCTTGACCATCTTGTGGTAGATTAGGCACCTAGTATTTTCCCTACTATCCTTTGTAAGGATACAGTTAAAACCCACACAGATCCCTTGGGACTTGTGGAGGGCCCTGAGTTTAGCATACATGTATTATATGGTTCTTTTTGGCATTTGTGGAACTTGTATTATTGTTACATATGATGTATTTTTCATACTGTGCACAATAATTATTCATACGTAGATTTAATGTTTGTTTTGTATATAATTTTTATAATGTTGAATGAAAAATATAAACTTACCTTAAAACCAGTTTGACTTATAACCTGTTGGTGGGAACAGAACCTAGTCGAAAGTCTAGGAGACCCTTACTTACTTCTTGTCACTGATTGCAGATAAACGAAACAAGCCTGATTCTGTGGACTGTACTCCTCCTGATGCTATCATCCCCAACTCCAAAGAACGACCTCTGCTTCCTCTACATCCAGGCATTAAAGACCTCAAGGTTTGTTGTGAACATATTTGATGTCCTGGATCAACTTGTGTATGTAATGTTATTGCAGTTGATATCACTGCTCTTTTGGTATTTCCTTGAATGAGTGCTCAGTCCCCCAGAGCAGCGTTCAGTCTAGTGTACTCGGCGTGTGTGGGTTCCAGGACCATGTAGTTGGGAAATCAAGAATAGGCTCACTGTCTCACCATCAAGCATGTTGTGCAAGTCAAATAAGTGGGAGCTTACTTCAAATATCTGCCTGGGAGGCGAGGACCCAGGAGTCTTTATATAAATAAGCCACATCTGTTTAATAGATGTGCATGCATGAAACATGACTAAGTCTGGCGTTTCTGGTTGTCCAAAATGGAGCTCTGTAAGCAACACCGGGATGTTCTCATACTAAATTATTTAAAATATATTGACCCCAAATATGACATAGGCACTTGGTTAAGCTTCTACAGATTGTGTAGCCAGGCTTGTGTCAAGAGATCTGTTAGTATTTACTAGGGCCTAGCGCTCTACTGGGGTATAGAAGGCAGAAGTGTCGCTGTGCAGCTTGGGTGTGTATATTTGGTAGGTTTTCCATTTTGCACATATGCTTGTTCTCAACAGTTTTTGTTTTGAATTCAGGCGACTCGCTGTTTGAAGGTGCTCACATACAGTGGCTGGAATCCTCCCCCTGGAAATAGACGCATGCATGGTAAGTATTTATTGTTTATTTGCTTAGATGTAACCAGAAACATTGTCTGTCTGTGCTGAAACCGAAGGGATCTCTTTGTGCACTGTTTAGCAGCACATCAGAACCTTGGCATTAATGGAGTGAAGCCATTTTCTAAAACATTTAATTGCAGGGGAGTCTCATAAGTTTTCACACATAGGAAACGTATCAGCAGTGCAATTAGCAGCACAACTCCAGCTGTGCTTATGCACATTCTTTATCCATGGAGGACACACATCGAAGTGTGTTTTCAAAACAATGGTAGTCACGTGGAGCATGTTATATAAATAAGAATGCTTTTCATTAAAAAGTATAGATTTTTCCTATGCATGGAAACTGACAGGATACCCTAGTTCTGATCCTCCACAATATCCAGAGAGAGGTAATACCGGAGTGCATTACTGAAATAACTTTTGTTCTCCTTCTCCTTCTTGTAGTCCATGCTGTGTGGCATTGGTAGTCATGCCTATCCACAACCTGTTGTCTTGTGTATTCAGTAATTTCTAACACAGATGATCTTCCCTGCCACGATGTCAGACTGTCCAGCATTTTCTCTCTCAATCTCCCTCTCCTCCCCTCTAACTTTTCCACTGTCAACATTTATAGTTTTCTCCTTATAACATGACCAAAGAGCGTTGATTGTTTCCTTATGATGTGGGCAATCATTTTCCAAATATGGTTTTATTTGGGTTATTTTGACTAGAATGTTTTAGACACATTATTAGACAATATACTTCCCCATGTAAGTTCCAGGGCCCAATTTTAAAAGTAAAAACTGCACTTATGTTGTGAAAAAGTGATTAATAATGATATGCTGAAATTTGACATGCTGGGCTGAAAGGTGCAGATAATGCAGCCTAGCTGTAAACCACAACATATGCACCAACCACCCTTTTAAGGGTTAACAGATAAGGATACGGATCTACTCTCTTGTATTTTCTAGGAAATTAAAATATAATTTTATGATTGCACCTATGAAATGTGTGCTTTCAGGTGATCTCCTGTACTTGTATGTTGTGACACTTGAAGACAAGCGCTACCACATTGCCAGTTGTGCTAAAGGTTTCTACCTCACCCAGTAAGTCATATGTGTGTATAAATATGGACATGTAAGTTTATGTATATGTCCGTGTGTGTACATAACTGTACATGTATCTCCAGGCATGTACAGTGTTCCTTTTAATCATGTTTTTTTTTTAGAGAAATGAGTAAAAATACGACATATGCATTTACATCCTAACGATTCACTGTTCTCCTTTAACATTGAAACTTGTTGCATCACCATATGCAGCTGATACTAAAAATAGCTGGTGATATATTGAACTAATACTATCCAATGTGTGGGTTCTAAGGCCCCATTTGGGGATGGGGACTGGGAAAGAAGAATGGACTCACTCTTCCAGGTATGTTATGAAAACGATAATTGGTATTTCCTTTGCATCTTCCTAAGTGGTGAAGAACTAGTAGTCTTTTTACAGCAAGCTAGATCTGTAAAACTGATGTTCATGCAAAATGCAAGTTCTGGAACAACCTGTAGTCCAGAAGTGGACAAACATAAATTTCCACCAGTTTACAGCCAAGGAATATGAAGAACAACAACTGAAACAAAATGTTAGGGTGATGACAACTGTTAATACCTTCAGGTGCCATAAATGGCAGAGCAATCATCTTGTATTGCTTAAAAAAGTATCCAAGACAATAATTTAGAAATTTTAAGACCCTCACATCCTGTCTGTATGTACATACACATTTGAAACCTGGTGTTAATTTGTTTTTTTCTAGATCCACAGAGGATGAATTCAACCCCAAACCAGCACAGCCCAAATACTTGTCACATTCTCTCATAGACCTGCTCAACCAGGTAAATACAATACTTGTCACTTTATCTCATAGATTTACCCAGCCAGGTAAATACAATTCTTGTCACATTCTCTCATGGACCTACTTAACCAGGTAAATACAATACTTATGACATTCTCTCATGGACCTACTCCGCCAGGTAAATACAATACTTGTCACTTTATCTCATAGATTTACCCAGCCAGGTAAATACAATACTTGTCACATTCTCTCATGGACCTTTTTAACCAGGTAAATAGAATACTTGTCACATTCTCTCATGGACCTATTTAACCAGGTAAATACAATACTTCTCACATTCTCTCATGGACCTAATTAACCAGGTAAATACAATACTTGTCACATACTCTCATGGACCTACTTAACTAGGTAAATACAATACTTGTCACTTTATCTCATAGATTTACCCAGGTAGGTAAATACAATACTTGTCACATTCTCTCATAGATTTACCCAGCCAGGTAAATACAATACTTGTCACATTTTTTCATTAACCTGCTTGATGAGGTAAATATCTATCAAGTCACCGATTCCACTTTCTTTCTCATAAGCTGCAGCAACATATAAACAGGTAATCATGTATACATCTGGGAGTTTTGTGGCAGAGTGGTTAAGTGGTTTATTTACTTCATGCTCCGAAAATGTTTGTTTCATAGACACATCACATCACATTATTTCTTGGTGCTAGTTTTTTGAGATCCTTCAATTCTGGAGCTGAGGAGTTCAAGCTTTGTGCCATCTGTTCTGCAGAGAAAGAGCTTTTGTGCGGGATAAAATCCAATGCAGTGAAGTCTGTCCTCTGACATTAACCATCAGTATTAAGTTTAAAACGGTTTATGATTGTGAGTAATTTGACCTCTCACATTTCCTTTTTAAATGTCTTGAACACAGTTTAAAAAAAAGTATAGTTAAAAAGGACAAGATGCACATATTCAACGTCTTTTTTTTCTTTTCAGGTTAGTCCAGCATTCAAACGTACTTTCTCCCTGTTGTTAAAGAAACGGGCACAAAAACACCCCTTTGAACGTGTGCCTACTCCTTATCAAGTATACTCTTGGATGGCGCCACAGTATGATCATCAGATAGACTACATCCGAGCTGAGGATGGTCAGTATTAAAAATACCTTCCCAAAAAATGTATAATATTTTTAGAAACTTACCAGAAATAATGTCTTTACTACCTGACTTTACCGCTTTTAAGTTTGTGAAGAATGAGGGCTATACCACTTTTAAGGTTGTGTAGGATGAGGGCTAAACAACTGTTAAAGTTGGTAGTTTGGTATACCATTTTCTACATATATTTTTTTTCCAAAACATCTAAAAATCATTGTACTGTAAATATCACATACCTTCTGCTCACAAATGCTTTATGCTCATGTGATATTGATTTTGTTTGTTTGTGCAGCCTTTTCTACACGTCTTGGCTATGAGGAACACATCCCTGGGCAGACCAGAGACTGGAATGAAGAGATCCAGACAACCAGGGAACTCCCAAAAGGAAATCTGCCAGAGAGACTGATTAGAGAGCGTGCCATCTTCAAGGTATGGGGTTCTGTTTCCAGTCACTGATTCTTTAGTGTTGTTTGTTTTGAAACTGTTTGTGCACATATTCTAATGTTTACTTGTCAAGAGTAGTTGATCCATTGTAATTTATTTATTAACCCTAGTTTATGAAAGCTGCCCATTTCATGAACTAAGCCTTCATGCCTGTTCACTTCCTGAAATCCTTAAAATATGTCCAGTTTATGAATCAACAGTTAGAGCTAGTAGAGAAGAAAAGTTTGCCCATTTCAGGAAGTAAATGTTTTCATATATTGGGTAAAAATTCAAAAGTGTAGAACAGGGTGTAAACATAAGTTTACTCAGAGGCCGAACTTTGAAAGTGGGGATCGTCAAGGGCCAGCTGCCTGAGCCCCAGCATAGAAAGATCATTAATTCAATACAACTGGCAGTGATCCACAGGCCACCTGCTATATATATATATTTTGTGTGTGACCGGGGGGTATCAGTAGAATAGTGGCTGACTGATTGAGGTATCTGCATATTTTAATACAGAATTCTGTACTTTGATCTGCAACATAAAATTATTGTGTTCGTGTATGAAGATATGTTTAACAAACATAGCCAAAAATATGTGCAGGAACACACAGCGAGAATAATTAGGAAGATAGAACACAGAAAAGCAGTGATTAATTCTGTGTTTAGGACTGTTGTGTAGCATCAGTGGTGATATGTTGATGCAGTGCACCTGTAGCTTCCAGATTGTTGTTGTTATCTGTTGTCATTACATTTCCATTTTCTTGTCTTCCTTGAATGTTGATTCATGCCAGAGGCACTTGCTGCGAGATTGTTCTTATCATTTATATTAATTTATTTATATATATATTTTTTTTAAGGTTCACAGTGATTTTGTTGCTGCTGCAACTAGAGGTGCAATGGCTGTCATTGATGGGAATGTCATGGCCATCAACCCAGGAGAAGATGCCAAGTGAGTGGATTAATGCTAAAAGCCGACATTCTGCCTTTCTTTTCTGGTTGGGCTCTTCAAAAGACTGTAATATCATTTGCTATCTCCCTGCAATTCCAGTTACTTTTTGTAACTAATATTTCTCAATATCTTCTCCATATGTTGGTCTTTTTAATGTCACCCCTCAAAAATATATGTTACATCACTGTTATTGTTCTTCTTGTTTTGTCATCTGACAGATACTATGTTGTAGCCCAGTGTCATGGTTTTCGGTGTTTGTCTGCGCTTTTGGGTGGGCTTGAGTGGTTTTTGTTGTTGTTGCTGCAGCTTTCATCTAAAATATTTATCCTTCTCTTTCTTGTTCTTCACCTCGTCTTCCTCCAAGATGTATAGCGACCAGTGTGTCTCTTTCCGGGGGAATGAACTATTTTCTTGTGCCTTTTACATGCCTCAGTATCTTTGTGGTAATCACAGAGGACTCATTTGTTGCATGATTTCCTTCCTAGGATGCAGATGTTCATCTGGAACAACATCTTCTTCAGCCTGGGGTTTGATGTCAAGGATCACTACAAGGACTTTGGTGGAGATGCTGCAGCCTATGCTGCGCCGGTGAGTAGCTGAATGTGGGTATAGGAGTTGGTGGCAGTTTCTCTAGCATTTGTTACTTGTTCGACCACTTCAGTTCTGTGTAAGGAAGGCTGATTAATACTTTCAAAGGGGCAGATATGCTCAGAAGGAATTAAATGGTATGACAGAATCACCAATGTTGGCATTAGGAGAGAACTAAACAAATTCGCGTGAATCAAGAGCTGAGGAAAAGATGCTGGCTTTGGACAGGACACACATTGATAAAAACATGAGAACAGTATAACTAGAACATCTTTGCACAGGAACACACAGGGGCATACAAATAAAGGCAGACAAAAAAAAACATAAAGAGAGCTAGAGAATGAAGTAAAGAATGAGCTGCATAGGGATAGGGTGACTTGGCGTGGATTGAGGGCCTACGCTCCACTGGGTGATAAAGGGTGGGAAAAAAAGATATATTGTAAAAACAAATATGTTACCAGATTTGTCTAGTAGACACTGACAGAATGTAAGAAGCACAGTCGCACTTATCACATTGATTCGTAGACAGACACAGAGAATAGACAGTAAGGCATGATGGGTTTCTTGGGAGCGGAGGAGTTAATAATTCAGCTGTCTTTTAAATGGCACACTTCCATCAGTTTACTAGAAATTTGTATGTCAGTTTATTGGGAATTTGTACACAGATTATTAGAAACTTGTACACAGGTTATTGGGATCAGTACTCAGATTATGGGGAGCAACTACTCACAAGTCTTATATTGACATCACAGAGACATACAAGTTACTGCTGTCCCAAATACAACATATCCAGACAAAACCTTTGGCCAAGAGAAACATCGGTGCATTTCAAACTTTACGGCTTACTGAGTAAATTTCAAAAGACAGTGAGTGAAGTTTCTGCAGCCTGCCTTGACTGTGGAGCCAGCTGTTGATTGATTGAATACTACTGCAGCCTGTCTTGATTGTGCAGCCAGCTGATTGATTGCATACTACTGCAGCCTGCCTCAATTGTGGAGCCAGCTATTGATTGATTAATTACTACTGCAGCTTACCTTGATTATGCAGCCAGCTGTTGATTGATTGCATACTACTGCAGTCTGCCTTGTTTGTGCAGCCAGCTGATTGATTAATAAATTGGTGCTGTGTTCACAGGGTAATGACCTGCAAGGAGTGAAAGCTTACTTCAACATGGATCCTGATGGTCTGTACACCCTGGGTACCGTAGTGGTGGATTACAGGGGATACAGGATCACTGCCCAGTCTATCATACCTGGTAGGTTTGTACCTGTGGCTCTTTAGGCAGTTTTCCATCAATTTGTAGCCACAATTCAAATTTTATTCTGCCCGGCCTCTTAGTTCTTAAACAGACACATGTTCCCTGGGTTCCATAGCGGAAAGGGGGGGGGGCAGAGCCACTGCCTCCCTAAAAAGCACATCTGGGTACATGTCTTTATAGTTTTCCAACAATGTTATTTTTTATGGATAAGCATTTTTGCACAGAATTATATTGTTAAAGAAATATTTTACATCTAAAGCCATTAATGAATGGAATGAAATTTGGTAGCATGTGCCTTAATTCTCCCATTGGATGAAACCTGAAAAGCTTTTTTTTTTGTTGCTTTTTTCTTCTTTATTGGCTATTGTATTTTAGCTTTTTTTTTTAGTTAGCCAGCCTCATGCCCAACACCTCTTACTGGTATCTTAGAACATACTTAGTCGGTTAAGGCGCCATTCTTCTGCTTCCATGTGAACTCTGTTAGACACCAGCATGGCGAAAATGTTACTGGTGAGCATGGACATCCTCTCATCAACACTAGCAAATCAGATCCTCTTTCTGATTCCCATTCTTTAAGTTGAGCCTTCTTGGCTAGTTTTACTTGTTGCTATATCATTTGTGAATGTACCCAGTATTTAGCTTTTATCCGTGTATGTAATCTTGAGTTGACAATGAAAGTATAGTGCAAGTTTGTAGGTAGTGAGCTGGTTTTGATTTTTCTGTTTTAAATGAGGAAAATCTTTGCTTTCGTCCATAAATGGGTGATTGGTGTCAAAGATCTCTCTCCCTCTCTCTCTCTGCAGATACATTGGGTTGTCGCTGAAAACACTGACAGAATACATACTTAGAGGCCCACAGCACGCCTCAGAGCTGGGGTGAGAGGTTAGGTAGACAGTTCGCCAGACGTCCTACCAGACCTGAGGCCCTGAACCTAACTGTCCCCTATACCTGAGCTCCTGGGCATTAACACGAAAAAACAAACATGATGTACAAAAATATTAGTTACATGCAAACAAGTAGTTAGAATTAGATAAAACTTGGAGAGACATTGTAGAAAATAGGTTTACCTTTCATCTAGCGCCAATATTAGCAGGATCTTTGTTTTACAATCCACCTATGTTGCTGTTTGAGGATACGCCCCCTTCTCTTACTATCGTCTAGTTTTTCACAATTTGAATTCTCCTTCTCACTCTAGCTCTCACTGTGTGCCACTTCAACTAAGTTATATTTTTCATGAACGTATTTAGTCTGAATTACAAAGCAATCCCTTTTGGACTTGACTAGCTAGACCTCTCAGTTTTAAATCCGCTTGTTGATTTTTTTATGAATTTTCCTTACATCCACACTAAGAAATCTCAGCACTTGTGGGAAGTCATTTGAAATGTGTCACAATCATCTGAGACCATATTTTTAGCCTGTGAATGTATTTTTCACAGTACTACGAATTCCCAACCAAAGTAGCAATCACCTGGTTAGGACTTCCCGAAACATTGCCAACGGTCTGGTAGGGTTTACCTACGTATCTGCACTTTTTCCTTGCATTTCAAAGTCTAATCAGCTCACAGCATGCATTAGTAGATAGGCCCCCCCCCCCCATTTGGGGCCCCTGGAACCCACATGATTATGTCAGGTGGCATAGTGGTGATTTCTGTACACAAAGAAAAAATCTCAAGCAGTTTACTAAAACAGTTTATGAATATGTAGTTTCTTATTTTGTTATGTCCATTGTAGGAATCTTGGAGCGAGAACAGGAACAGTCAGTGGTGTATGGCTCAGTGGATTTTGGGAAAACGGTAGTCACCAGTGACAAATACAGAGAACTGGTAAGCTTTTTTTGTGTTGTTGAAATGGATTATTTAAAAAGGCTGAGAAATGTCTGGACAACTACTAGTATCAACAATTGTCAGATAAAGAAGATGGTAGAGATAATGAAGACTGCACTATATTGGGCACATCCTTAGAAGCAGACAGAATAATCACCAGACTGGCACTGTAATGTGAAACAAATGCAATGGGAAAATGAAGACTTCTAAAAGAAACCCTAAAGTTAAGAAGAGAAAGAGAGAGCAAAGGTGCTGAACTGTATTCCATCTGTTTTATTTAAGTAATTGCTTGGGATAGAACAGAGTAGAGGAATAACCTGTGAGCCATGTGTGACATAAGGATGATGAGGATGATGAAGTGTTTGTGGTGTGGACAATGTTATTTCTGTTAGAACCTAGAACTAAGATATGATTTGTTCCCCTGCTTGTGATCATATGTTTTAGATATTTGATTTTGCAGCAGAGATCATCATTTAAAGATGTAGATTGTAATTCTGAGGCCGGCAGCAAATGTCATGTGAATTTGCAGGTTTGTTACTCGGTTGACACGTGTTTGACTTTCCAAACGATAGTGTTTTCCTGCGCTTTTGGGGGTCATGGGAATGACATCCTATGGTGATACTTGTTAAGGCCTTGGAGGAAGCTCCTCCTCCACGGCGCAAAGCCAGGTCAGTGGAGACCATGTGCTCCCTAGTCAGCATGATCCCTCACTCGGCCTGCTTTGGTAAATGTAAAAGGAAGAAACTACTAATATATATATGGAACAGCATACTGTGGAAGCTACTTCATCAGAACTGTACTGCTGGCTCTGTTTGCTTCTTAGAGCTTCCCTCTAAACACGGCTATGGGCCTGGTTTGCCAAGCTGTAACATTGTTTTCAGGTTGAATTTCTTTGTCTAGGCTTGTAGTAACTGCCATATTAATTTGTAGACTTATGGTGGAGGTCATGTGAGATTGTGTGGTGTATTGTCTTAGGTGGTGTACTGTCTTGTGTGGGGTGCTATCTTGTGTGGTGTACTGTCTTGTCTCATTTTTTCTATGCTCTCACCAGCTGTAAACTCTAAAAGTTATGGTTGTTCTTACACCTCCAGACTTTAGTACTGTCTTATGATTTTTGAAAATGTGTGCACTGCCATGTTCCTTCAGCTTTGTCAAGTATTGTTGCATGCAGCAATTGTCAGTAATGTAAAGCTGTTTGCAGACACCTTTCTTGAGTGTAACTTGGAAATATTCTTTTTTATTTCACAGCTTCAGAAGACTGCAGCAGCACTAAAAATCAGACCTCATCAGTAAGTTATGAAACATTACATAATGTGCACATTATGATGCAGGTTTTCCTTATTCTGTTTGTGTTGTTTTCTGAGGTTTTCTTTGACACACGTCATCTTGAAAATGTTTTTTTTTTTTTGGCTAGAAATCTTGGTTGTATAGAGGGAAAGGTGGGGGTGCAGGCAGTGGGTAAAACACACAAGAGGGAGCCAGATGTATCCCTGAAGTTTCTTTGCACTGAAGCCCACAAGGCCATAAAGAATTGTAGAAAGTGATTATGCAGAAAAATGGGGCGGTCGGAGTTATATGCTTGGAATGAACTGTAAAAGATGGCATAATGATGATTGGGGGTGGGGGTGTTGCCATTAGTAATTTATTAGGATATTATTTTTCTACTGTTCTGTTCCCAAGTTTTCATATTTAGTTAAATGCACTGTATTTAATCTTACCAGTTTGTTACTTCCCCAGGGTACTCAACGGTAAAGATGAGCCCATTGAATTGTATTCCTCCATTGAGTGCAAGGTGAGCTGTTTGTAGTCTTTGTTCAGTGTGAATGATCTTAATGATTATTATTTTGCTGTGCTGTTATGTGCCACATAATGTTTACAGTTTATTGACCTCCATAACGGGGGTTGAAATATGATAAAATATTAAATCATGTTTTCAGTTTTGTTAGTGATTGCTAATTTTGCTCAAGCCATATTAATGATGATTCCATTAGAGCCTTTATTGTATTATAATGAATGATTACCAAATGATAGGACTGAGATATGGCTGTAGATTTTATGCAATGCTTATTTATCTTCACTAGGTGTGACATTTTCTGACAATGCAGTTTCCATTTTTCAGGGAATTGTTGGAAATGATCAGAGGCATTACATCCTTGATTTATTGCGCACTTTCCCACCAGATGCAAACTACTTGCCAGGTAAGCTACTCTGTCTTGTTTGCCATATTCACGAACAGCTATGGCAGTATGAGAGTTAAAGGATCTGTGTGTTTATGTGATCAAGTGCACTGCATGCAGTGTGTGCGGTACACCAAAATGTCCACTGTTGGAACTTTTCTGGCTTATTGTTATAGCATGAGACATTAAAATATGCCTGTTGATTTGATCTGATTTGAAAAAAGTGTTCTCTGTATTTCTTTGCTCTCCTAAGTGTACCTGTGAATTTATTGCTTTGTATGTCATTTAGCAGTACTATAAGGGCCTTATACAATTTATTTACCCTTTTTAGGCAAGGGGTTGAAGAAAAATCTGGTGTCCTCACTTTAGGCCAGAGCTGAGAATATTTGTAGAACACCATGTCGAAGCTACATTGAGGGCTGCTGCTGATTTTTTTTTTTTGTAGCTGCTGGTTCCATCGACAGTGAACTGTAATTCTAGTGGTTGACTGTTTCTGATGGCTGCCTTATTCGTTTAATGTATTCATGTTCTATTGGTTTTACCAAGACTGGAGTCTGTGCCAAGGGGACAGCGATGAGCATTCTGTGTGGTTTTTGCAAGCACAGCATTAGAGCAATTATGGGATGATTTGTTTGCTGTGAAATTCTTCCTCTGCCTCTTCTACCATTGATCTTTCCAGTCATCACAATATTTTCCAGTTCTTCTTGTCTCATCACATGACCAAAGAACTTTGTCTCCTTCTCATTGTTGTACAACATGGTTCTACTTTCATTTGCAGACAATCTTTGCTGCAGTTCAGAATTGCAAGTCAGGATGGAAAGTTTATGTCCTGTATTACTTGTACTGGAATAGTTATTGATGCTTTAAAAAAAATAATAATATGACATGACTATTGTTCTCCCTCAAAGCTTGTGCAGGCAACAAATTTAAGTTTGATATGTTGGTGAAAGGCTGAAAAATTAAAGCTGGCCACAGCACAGTTAGTCCTCGAATAAATGCTGTAGAAGTCAGATATGTTGGTGAAAGGCTCATATATTATAGTTGACCACAGCACAGTTAGTCCTCGAATACATGCTGTAGAAGTCAGATATGTTGGTGAAAGGCTCAAATATTATAGTTGACCACAGCACAGTTAGTAACTTGTATGTTTCTGTTGTTGTTATAGTTGAAGGAGAGGAGCTTTCTGAATTCATGAAGAACCACGGATATCCAAAGAAACACAGACATAAGCTGGCCTGCCTGAGACAGGAACTCATTGAAGCATTCACAGAGTGAGTGTGTTGTGGATGTAGATTTTGATGCTTGTATGTCTGATTCTCTTACTTACTTACTTAGTCGCCCTTCTTCTACCATGGGGTGTAGAGGTTTGCCAGAGAGATCACCAGACGTCTCTATCAGCAGTTTTCTTTCTGGCTTTGTTCCATTCCAGTCCTCTGTCAGTTAGGGACTGTCAGATGTTGTCTTCCCAGCGCACCCTGGGTCGTCCTGGAGGTCTGGTTCCCTGGTTCTTAGCCTCTCATGCCTGCCATATGTCTGATTCTCAAACATGGATAATGAAAGAATTTAGCATCATCAGTCTTCAGGTCCTTTACAGAATGTCTCTTTTTTTTCACTGCATACATGAAAGTCTCTTTCTCTAGCCAATTCTCCAGCCCTGTATTCTTTCATAGCCACTGTATCTTTGTCTTCTATCCACATTTTCGGGGGTTTTCCTCTGTGTGATTCTCTTGTGACTACCCTCAGTAACAGTTTTCTTTAGGCCACCATGACGTTTAACATGGCCGGAATGCCTCATCTTTCAGAACAGGACGCTGTTTATGAGCCAGATTATGCTCAGCTCATGTAGGATGTCAATGTTTTTCTCCTCGGTCTGTGGTATTCTAAGAGTTTTTCTGTAGGATTTCAGTTGCAAATTTTTTCTTCTGTGATTGTCCTGGACCAGTCTGATGTGGGACACCACCTGTACTGTAAGACCACACAATAATTAGACTATAGTGCCCCACAAAACTAACAGGGAAGGCTAACCCGGTTAACAAATCGAAAGGCGCACATATCGCAGCCATGCTGTAACCAGACAACACAGTTACATCTTCGGATGTTTGCAGAAGATTATTTCAGTGCTCATGGCCCACAAATACAAGTTGTCACAGGAAAGATGCACAATCTCATAATTGTTACTTCAACTTGCTTACAGGTGGTGGACCATAGTGCAGTAGATTTATGATACAAAAACCAGTTAGTCCTGAATAATTTGTTCCCTCTTTTTTTTCCTAGGAGCCGATATTTAGCTTTTGTGAAACACGCCGCTTTACAATTCCAAGCTCTGCACAAACAGACCAAAAACTCTGAGGTATGTTGAAGACTTTAAGTTTATGGCTCAGAGAAATCTAACCTGGGCAAACAAATATCTGAATCTGTATTTTACAAATATTGTAGCCATGCTGTTAACGGGCACAGTGTGATTAAATAAGTCTTAGATGTATACAGAAGTAGAGGTTTATTACTCTTAAAAGAAATAACCCAATCTGCTTTAACTCCTTTCGTTCCATCATGTTATCTCTTCCATCTCTTTTCAGAATAGATCTAATAAAATATATGCTTTATACTAAATTCAAAAGAAAATTAAATTTATGGGCTATAGTTTGGCATTTAACTGCATAGACATGGCCAGGATCTAGTTAAATTTCATGGCTTATGAATTAAAACCAATTTACAAGCTCTCTTTCTTGTTGCTGTTTTTAGGAGAAATCTGCATTAACCAATGGCCATAGCTGTGATGAAAACAACAAAAATAAGAATGATGAAGACGAGGTGACAGAAGAGGCCAAGAAGTTGGTGGAGACAATAACTGGCAGTGAAGGAGGAACACGTAAGCAGGGTGTGAACCTTTGGCTTCTAACATTCTCAGCTTAGCTGCATGTTGAGTTATGTTTACTGACATCCTAGTGTACCTGCATGTTGAACTGTTGAGTTAGACTACTGGCATCCTAGTGTAGCTGCATGTTCAGTTATGTTTACTGACATCCTAGTGTACCTGCATGTTGAACTGTTGAGTTAGACTACTGGCATCCTAGTGTAGCTGCATGTTCAGTTATGTTTACTGACATCCTAGTGTAGCTGCATGTTGAACTGTTGAGTTAGACTACTGGCATCCTAGTGTAGCTGCATGTTGAACTGTTGAGTTAGACTACTGGCATCCTAGTGTACCTGCATGTTGAACTGTTGAGTAAGACTACTTGCATCCTAGTGTAGCTGCATGTTGAACTGTTGAGTTAGACTACTGGCATCCTAAGCTGCATGTTGAACTGTTGAGTAAGACTACTGGCATCCTAGTGTAGCTGCATGTTGAACTGTTGAGTTAGACTACTGGCATCCTAGTGTAGCTGCATGTTGAACTGTTGAGTTAGACTACTGGCATCCTAGTGTAGCTGCATGTTGAACTGTTAAGACTACTGACATCCTAGTGTACCTGCATGTTGAACTGTTGAGTAAGACTACTGGCATCCTAGTGTACCTGCATGTTTAGTTAGACTACTGATGTCCTAGTGGAGCTGCATGTTGAACTGTTGAGTAAGACTACTGACATCCTAGTGTACCTGCATGTTGAACTGTTGAGTAAGACTACTGGCATCCTAGTGTACCTGCATGTTTAGTTAGACTACTGATGTCCTAGTGGAGCTGCATGTTGAACTGTTGAGTAAGACTACTGACATCCTAGTGTACCTGCATGTTGAACTGTTGAGTAAGACTACTGACATCCTAGTGTAGCTGCATGTTTAGTTAGACTACTGATGTCCTAGTGGAGCTGCATGTTGAGTTATGTTAAGTTAGACTATTGGCATCCTAGTGTAGCTGGATTTTCAGTTATGTTTAGTTTAATTATTGACATCCTAGTGGAGCTGCATGTTGAGTTATGTTTAGTTAGACTACTGGCATCCTAGTGTAGCTGGATTTTCAGTTATGTTTAGTTTAATTATTGACATTCTAGTGTAGCTGCATGTTGAGTTATATTTAGTTAGACTACTGTATTTACTTTCTCAGATAAAGGCTAGCTGATGCATAATTGAATAGAGAAGGCATAGGAATTCTTAGAAATGGATAGCTGAGCTTTTGATCAAGTAAAAATAGTTATTTGAGTCCTACCATGTCGCCAGATTTCATGAGTTTCCATGGCACAGCTGTTAACATACTAGTTTTAAATATTTAAATCATAAAATTTATATTTATTTGAGTTAAAACCTTTTGTGTTTTTCAATAGCCCTTGTGGGTTAATTCATATCTGAATGTTGACAGAAGGAAGGTGCAAGTTTACTTGCAGATTTTTAAATCTTTTTTTCTTGCATGTTTTTTTTTTTGTAACATCATTGTATATTAGCTTGAGAAATGTATTCACAGCTGTTGATTTAAAGTCCCCATGTGGGTTCGAGGACCCTTTTTTGGCTGAAAAGGAATAGATCCACTGTCTCTCTGACAAGCAGTGCCATTAAGGGTGACTAATTAGGGAGTTAGCACCAGAGTTGGAGTTCAGTTGCCTGAGAGGGGAGGCGGTTGATGGACTCCATTCCAATAAATCAGATCTGTAAAGTGAATATGCATGCAAGACCAAGTGAATTCAAAGATCTAATTGAAGGGAAAGTTACGTGGATATGCTAGATCGCAGCAAATAGATAGTTGTTGAGTTAAATAGCACTAACATTGGTTTAGGATTTGAATCAAAAAAGAGTTTATGGCTGTCAAAAGGCATAAATTAGGTTCTCAACTGTGGTGGCTGTATGTTAGATAATAATGTACTGTCTTCAAATGCTTAAGAATGTGCAATAACTGCTTGTCCACAGTTGAAGATGACACTCGAGAAATTGTGAAGAAGGCAGCTCAAGCATCAGGCTCTATGTCCGATACCGGTAAATGATTTGTGTAGTCTTTGGGAATCACTTCCTGTTTCTGATACTTATTTTGTTTACCTGTCTGTGGAATTGTTTGATAACTAGTCATTAAAGTGTTAGATCTAGCAGGCTCCCAACCTCCTTTTAAGAATATGAATTTTACAACAGGGTCAGTGAGCTGTATGTGGACCAGTGGCATTTACCTAACCATTGATCATTAATGAACATCAGGTAAAGGGAAGGCACAGTGGTTAAGCCATTTAATCCACGCTCTAAAGGTTGTGTGGTTTTGCTTCATGCTCAGTAGGTTGGTTTGCGGGTGCATGAGTTTTAGATCTCTAGAGTACATTGTGCCATGTTCTTTATGGGTGGCCAGCCGCTGTGTGGAAAGTGACAAGCCAGATGGGATAAAATCTAGTTCAATGTAGACAACTTTCACTTTTTTCTTAGGTAAAAAAATGTGTTTTAATTTTTTGTTTAAAAGCAGGTTTTCTTATTGTAAATTTAAACAAAGAAGATGGAAACAGACTGCATGCTTACCTGTTACTTTGTGTGAAACCTGACAAGATACAGCGAAATATACTAGCCAATCAATTGTGCAATATGTTTTTTTGTGTCTTCCTTGTTTAAACCTTTTCAAATGCCATGTCAATGATGATCCTCACAGAGCCTTTATTGTATTACATTTATTGAGTGATTACACAATGATAGGACTGAGATATGGCTTCAGAGTTGCTAAAGTTGTTTTATATATATATAAGAAAAAGAAAAGCATAGTAATCCGATAGCGTTTTTTTATCAGTTGAAAATTTTTTGTTAAGACCCAGATGCAAATGAGCTGTCAATGATTGTTTGAACCCCAAGGTATTCTTGTTTCAAATTTGAACACTTTCACTCATACAAAGAATTTGAATGTCAATTTTATCGTCCTTTCAACAAAGTGTTTCTGTTTTTCCTCTGTTAAATAGCAAAACACCATTGCAAATCTATGCATTTCTTTCTTTCCTTTTTCTTTAAAATTTCTTAAAACAGGAAAGCAATATTGTAAATGTACATTTGTTTTTAACAGTGTGGATATTGATAGCCTTCTGTGGTCACTGTCATACAACAGGACATCTGCAGAGTGCCTCTGTTATATTGTGGGTGAAAATAGGTGACTGCAGTCAAGCTAATGGTGAAATAAGCTTTTTCCATGACTTTAGGCACATAGGGCTAGACCTGTATTTTATAGGCCAATCAGCACTTGGTGGGTGATGGGGTCAGCATCATGCTGGCCACCTTTACTTCTCAGTTCTTTACCTGGTACTCATTTGAGGCTGAGTCAGACCAGGAGCCAAGGTCATTTTTCGTGTCAGGATTCAAAGCCATGACCTTCCAATCCGCAGGCAAGCGAAGTCAAGTTAATACCTAGAAATTAATTCAGTGAACTGTTACTAGAAAGCTTAATGAAAGGGAAAAGAACAAGCTGCACGAAACAGATGACTCAACATTTTGGTCGGAGCCTTTCTCAGCATTAAATACACAACAGTAACAAAAAGCGAAATACTCCAAACTACCAGTACCCACTCTGTTATAATAATCTGCTAAAAAAATTAGTCCGCAAGAGAACCCTGATATGCCTTTGGCACATCTGCCTTATTGGTAACAGCACAGGACCAATTTTGTTGTACACCAGTGGTGCCATAGGCATATTATGCTAGTCATATTTTTGTTGCTCAAACAGCACTTGATGTTACCTGGAACCTATTTGAGGCCCGGTTGATGTGGGATCCAAAGATCCTGACACGAAAAATGACCTTGGCTCCTCCTAGTCTGACTCAGCCTCAAATGAGTACCAGGTAAAGAAATCAGAAGTAAAGGTGGCCAGTTTCATTTCTCATAACATATCCATTGACTGTGACTTGGCAGAAGAGGACAGATATTGAATCATAAGTGAATGGAAGTTTTACAAGGGGTGGACATTAAAAAAAATATCTTCATGTCTGTTTTCAGAATTCAGCATTACTTTCAACCCAGATGTCTTTCAGCCACATGTCCGGCACGCACAGCCTGATGTAAGTGACTACAGATAGTGTGTTTGTTTACTTGTTTACCTAGTTAATATTACAGCATCTATGATTAACCTTATTCTTTCAACTCAATGGCAGTTAAACGTTTTGTTTTAAATTTTGAACAAATTGCTTTATTCATTTAGTGAGTGTTGAAAATTATATATATATATATATATATAAAAACTTTATTGCATAGTTAGTTATTGGTTTATAGATGGTTTATACAATGGATCAACATCATGGCACAAGAGTTAATAACTCAAACATGCTCTGTTCTACTTCTAACTTAATCGTGAGTACAAAGAATCTCAGCGCAGTGCACAAACACTGAAGCACTGGCAAGGATCTTGAAATACTTCAAGTAGATTTTAAACTCCATATTTTGCCCCTGCAGCGGCGTTAGGCTTTTTTCTTTCTTTCTTTTGGGATTTCCAACTACCTAGAGAATTATTTTTACGTTCGCAACAGTACACACAAGCGTCCAGTTTACTACCTAGAGACCAGAGGAAATTACTAAACGTCCATGTAAAAAAAAAATAGTCCTATTTCACCTGGGGCTAAACCTGGGACCTCCAGCCTTAGTCCCCTCCCTCTTTTTAGTTAGTTCTAATCGCAGCAGTCTCCCTCTGTATATTCATTCATTCATTCAGTAGCATGTCCCTCGCGGAACCTCGCTGCCATAACAACCCTCCGGAAAACCTTCCTATCATGAGCAAGATGTCCTGCGTCTGATACACCCATCTGGAGATCATCTGCCACATCCTGCACCCTCTGTATATTACACAAGGAGAATTCATATGCTCATATGTAATAAAGATAGGCTAATGCATTCATGCAAGGCAAGATCTTCTTCTGAAGATCAGGCACCTTCTGTGGGAGAGTTCATACTGCTGTTGTATATCAGAATGTGTGTTTTGTGTATGTTATCGGTTTAATTGTTCATCTGTCCTCAGAGTGAGACATTCAAGAAAGAAAAGGAGCTTGTAAAAATGGCTTCCCAGCACATTGTTGCTAGTCAGATACCCCTCTTGGTGAGTTCTGTTTGTTTGAGCTGCTGTTCCCTGTTTAACTACTTGACTTGAAGAGAAGGAAAGTTTAACTACTGATTTATCTTGAAGAAAAGGAAAGTTTAAGTACTCATTTGTCTTAAAGAGAAGGACAGTTTAAGTACTCATTTGTCTTGAAGAAAGGAATGTTTAACAGCTCATTTGTCTTGAAGAAATTAACAGCTCATTTGTCTTGAAGAGGAGGACAGTTTAAGTACTCATTTGTCTTGAAGAAAGGAATGTTGAACAGCTCATTTGTCTTGAAGAGAAGGACATTTTAATTCTCATATGTCTTAAAGAGACTTTAAATGTAGCTACTGATTTGTTTTTAAATTGTCCTTATTTTCAAGACAAAAGAGTAGGTAGTTTTTCCTTCTCTTCACGCTAACCTACTTATTAAATTATTCCTTCCCACAACACTTAACAGCAGAATGGATTTATAATGATGATGAATGTTATAATGTAAATATTTATTCCAGATTAACGACTGGTTTGATCACACCTCATCTCCTGTCGATGGAATCACACTGGCTGAATCCATGCATGCCAGGTAAGACCAATATGTTGTTTCCTGGCCAGTAATTTCATTTTGCCATGTCGGTTCCAAGGCCCAATTCTGGAGAAAAAAAAACCAAGATGTAATTAGAGTGATTTCCTTCTAAAGTCGGAGTGTATCTACTGGATAGACGAGGAACCAGAGGTCTGCATATAAATTAACCCAATTGGTCAAATGGACATGTGCACAAATTTCAAGTTCGAGAACGAAAGTAGAGTCTAGAAGTAGATGGACAACCAGAACTTTCCACCAGTTTACAGCCAGTTTATGCAAAGAAAAAAAGATGTGTTAATGAAACCAAGACGTCTTACTAAGTTAACAGCAGTTATATTGAAACATAAAGAGCTGGATTTTTGTTATGGTAAATTAAAAATGTTGCTAGAGAAGCCATTGTAAAATAAAATTTTACTATTGAAATAGTGTGTGGGTATTTTTTTGTTCACTATTTTTTATGAATTTTTTTTCTCCAGGGGTATCAATATACGTTACTTGGGGAAATTAGCAGAGTTCCTTGCCAAATACCCAACTCTGTCTTATGTATATGTGAGTATTGCTGTGTTGTGTAGACTGTATTTATGGATCGCTGAACCACTATTGTCACGTCACTTAAGAACTGACATTGTATAAATGCCCTGTTCCCGTCTTCAGCAGCCAGCGAAGAGTTCCAGTTCTAATGGTGCCAGTAACAGTCTGATTGTATGTCCATTTCAGGTTTCTCATGAAAGTTGAGCATCTGTCACATTCCCTGTTCGCTCCTCACTTGCCTGTTATGTTGTCTTAAGGTTAAATTGAAGATTTCAAGATTTGGTTAAAAAGATATTTTGAATCTCAGAGCAGTTGTTTTTTGTGTGTGGAAATGTTATGACATGGACTGGACTCAAGAACTTGATTCCCCAAACAAGAATAGATTCACTGCCTGTCCTAAAGCATGTCGGAAGAGTCGACTAATTGGGAGCTGGAGCTTTCTTCGAAGTCAGAGTGCATCTGCCTTATAGGCAAGGAACCACAGTCTGCATACAAATTAGTCAGATCTGTCAAACGGATGCACATACAACACCCAGGTTCTGGAGCAGGACTGCAGTTCAGAAGCAGACGAACAACCGTAACTTTCTGCCGGAGTTTAGAGATGGTGAACGAAAGAAGAAGAAGAACTTGATAATAACTAGCAAGATGGATGGAAGAGAGCAAAAGCAAGGTGAAGAGATAGATACCTGAAGTTTTGGCCAAGTGGATGGGACGGGACAGGGACGTGAACCTGAGGTGTGATTCTGGTGACTGTGTGAGGTGGCAAAACATGACAGCCATTGCTTACCGCCACGACACAGTAAAATAATTCTATTTATTAATACTGATATGTTTTTGTTTTAGACCATTGCCATAAGTGAGCTCATTTGCCGATCAGCCAAACACCTGTACAACCAGTATATGCAAGGAGTCGACATGATGAACACGGCAGCAGCCATCAGCCATTTTCTCAACTGCCTTCTAGGCTCTTATCCCACTCCTCATGCTCAAGTCACAGCTGAAGAGGTTAGTGCCCTGTCATCACCATCATTATCTTTAAGTGAAATAAAAAATTATTCTGCCATGTCTCCTGGACTCTTACCCCACTCCTCACGCTCAGGTCACAGCCGAAGAGGTTAGTGTCCTGTCTGCACCATTATCTTTTAATGAAATAAAAGTTTGTACCGCCATGTCTCCACTGCTGACTATGGGAGTAACATGTGATAAGGTCGCAGTCTCTTCCGTAGTATTACTCTTGTACTTTTTCACATTTATCAGTTGACTCCGGCGGAAAGTTTCGGTTGTTATTCCCAGTTTGGACATTAGTCTTTGTTCCAGAAACTGATTGTTTGTATGCATGCACATCCATTTTTACAGATCTGGCTTACTCATATGCAGACTGTTGGTTCCTCATATCTCAGGCAGATGTGTTCTGACTTTGGAAGAAAAATCCTTGCTTATACAGCTTTTACGACATGCTTGTTAGGGAGGCAGTGGGTCTGTTTCTCCCCTAAAATAGGGCCCTGGAACCCACACATGGATCTCATACTTTATTTGAAAGCTATGATAATGTTGTTTCTGTAATGGCTCGCAGTGGACATTGTACCCTGGTACACATCTAACAATGCACTGTGAAACCATTTCACTAACTTCAAGCCACAGAAGCTGCAGGTTATCTTAAACCATATCAGTATCCAGTAAGGCTTCCTGGGTGTATATAAACCCTGACAGCAATGTCCATGCATTGTTTTCACCTTTATGGAGCCCCCTTTTTTTCTTCTTCAAATGGTTAGATTTTCATAGCACTACCCGACTTTCTGAGTGCTAATAAAGTCATAATTATCTTGAACCATATCCATATCCAACCATTCATTCTGGATGGATATCCAACCCTGACAGGAGCACCCATGCAATTTTCGTATCTTTATCAAACCACCTTCTCTTCAAAAGGCTTGACTTGCAGAGGTCTGCCGGAATTTCGGAGCACTAATGCTATCTTCAGCATTCACTGACTCTGTGCCTCTTTGGTACACTGTAAAAGGTTTAATGATCATGGATTCTGTGCCTTTTTGGTACACTGTAAAAGGTTTAATGATCCTGGATTGCCATAAATAGATCACAGTTACCTCATTTGCATTACATTGTGGAAGATGTATAGCGTCCTTGCTTTGTCCTCTCTTTACTATGTTTTGTCACAGTACACTAGGCTTTGTATCACATTAGGGTCTTCATTGCATTTTACATTATTCTTTATTATACTATGGTCTTCATGGTATTAAAATCATTATGAACTTTAATATATTACATTACATTTTGGTCCTAATTGTATTACATTACAACCTTCACTGCATGTTTCTTTACATTGTGGACTTTATATAATTGTCGTTATTGCATAATATTAGTCTTGTAAAAACCCAGTAATCTGTGTTTCCTCACAGAGCAAGGCTGCCAAGCGTAAGAGTAAACGGAAGAACAAACACAGTGTTGTTTTCAGTATAGGTAGGATTCTTTTTCTTACTTTGTTTCATATGAGTGTACATCATTTAGACATGTGAGATGGGGGAGGGATGGATATATATGTAAATATGTGTGTGTGTGTGTGTGTATATATATAGAGAGAGAGGGAGAGAGCACCTCACAGGCTACATATTTATTTATGGGTTTATCTTGAATATTTGCATGTATCCCTAATTATTTGAGCCTTCTCTGATGATGATGATTGTGTGCAGTCTCTCTCTTGGGCTTCCCAGTTTTCGTGTCCTTCCAGTGTCCATATGAGGGCTTGATGGGGAAGTCTTGTCTTTATGGAAAAGTTTTAATAAGTTAGTTTTAATGTTCATAGTTTAGCCAGTCATTTCCATGAATATTTAGCCAGCCATTTCCATGAATATTTTCCTACAAAGGATATGTTAATGCATTACCAACAGTAGGAATTCTTAGTTGAAATCAACTAGCATTATAAATATAGCCTGCAGTAATTATTACATTTGCTGGTCCTTGTTGTTGCAGAAAACACAGAATGGTCGTCAGAGACGCCGAAGAGTTTGTGGAAGAAGATTGTTGATGAGGTTGATAACTACTATGGATATACTCTTGAGTGGTGAGTACGCCATCGCATGTAAATTACATTAACCCAGGCCCCCACACCATGAGAGGTCACAAGCCTGGCATTTCCTTTATTGCCACCTTCCTGTAAAGGCTGCAGAGCTGGCATGTGTGCAGTTAACCTGTTTCCAAGAAATGCAGTTCTTATCATTGATAATGTTTGTGTGAAGTCCAGCCTTTAGCTTGTGATTTTAGCATGATGATTCCCTTTCTGCTTTTAGAAACTTACCGCCATGAACTGGTGATTGTAACACAGTGTTGTACCTGTGCACTTTTTAGGAGTCTTGGATATTAAATTGATATATTTTAGCATTATAAGAGTTGTTTTTTGTCTGAATCAGGTAACTTTGAAAGTTAAGTTGTTTCTTAGCCTTACTGATGGTAGTCTTAGGAGCTACAGCATGCGCCAACCAGTACATATTTGTTTTTGGGCTCTAGCAAATGTATTTTGTTTAACAGGGGGCTGAGTGGTTTTGAGGTATGGCATCCACCTAAGTGCTAGGGGTCCCGGGTTCAAACCCCGGTGAATGCTTTTTTACCCTGGTCTCTCTCTGGGTAGTAAAATCTGATGCTTGTATGCATTCGTTGCTCATGTAAGAAATACTCTGGCAGTTGGAAATTAAAAAAAGAGTAGCCTAATGGCGCTGCTCGGGCAAAATTTGGAGTAAAAAATCTACCCAAAGTATTTCAGAATCCTCTTCTGTGCAAGGGGGCTCATGCAGTGCACTGAGATTCTGTGAACTCCGGCTTGAGCTAGAAGTAGAACAGAGCACTATGAGTTACACCTGTGTGCCATGATGTTGATCCGTTGAATAAACAATAAATATTCTATTTAACACTTTACATGTCATTGACAGCTTTCAGCCTTTCCAGACAATAATGTTATATTTTACTTTAAGGAGGGTGGCGCGGTGATTTATGTCACAGGCGTGAGGGGAAGTTAAGTCCAACATGATGTGTATAAGGAGATACTCCGTACGTCACTCGGACGCCAGTCCTTCACTATCCTGGTTGTACGGAACCTCACGCAAGACCCCTACAGCACGTCCTCGTCGTGCGCCACGGATAATGTCTCAAATGAGCATTAACAGAGCTGTCAGGGGATCTCGGAGTTTGGCGGCCCCCAGAGGTGATGTGTCCTTGTGGCTCTCATCAGCCCGCCCCCAAACGCTTGGGTGAAAAATGTTATCAAAACTCATTAGGAACATGAGTAGGGTTGACAAACATACAGCTAAAATTACAACCCTTGGTTAAAAGACTGCTGAGTAAAGAGATCATTGCTCACTGCACATCCTCTGTTAATTCTCAGTGTCGTCGTCACCGCGCTGAGGTACAACCACAACAGCAACCATCCATAGGCTGGCCATCCTTGTACATCCTCGGTTGGCCCTCAGTGTCGTCGTCACCGCGCTGAGGTGCACCACAACAACAACCATCCATAGGCTGGCCATTCACGTACATCCTCGGTTAACCCTCAGTGTCGTCGTCACCGAGCTGGGGTACACCACAACAGCAACCATCCATCGGATGGCTAAGCCTAAATGTCCGACAAAACTAGATCATACGGATCAAAATCTGACCATCAAAATTTGCACTGAACTGAAAAAGACCGAATATCCACACCCAAAGACCCCACTCGCCCGAGTGTTGGGACAAAACTGATAACGATACGCCTGATTCAGGATGTGAAATTCTGTCAGGCTAATGTACCTATCTGTGTGGTCACAAAAGTCCAAAACCCACGGGCTGCTCCCCGCTGACTTCCAGAGGGCGCAGCCCCTGTCGAGTGGGAGGCCTGATACGGTTGTGAGGTTAAGCAGGCATGTGCAGGACGTGACGATTCCTTGGGTGAGCCCAGAATCAGAGCAATATGTGTGCCGGCTCTGCATGCATGGAAGCCTCCTTGGATGGCGGGGAATGCCCATGATTTGCCCCTGCCTTCCCTTGAGGGCCAACTGTTCCACAGGGGGCTGCCCCAAAGGAGTACTCTGGGGGCAATACCTGCGGCGAAGGAGACAAAATGGACACCACACAAATTAGGCAACGTCTCGACCCACACAAAACAATGGCCACAGTCACCCTAGAAATAGGCCTGACGTCTTCCTTCGAAGTCGGCGTACAGCTGCCCAAGAGGCAAGGAAATGAAAAACGGTTGTACACGCAAAAATCAGGTCCAGGTGAAAGCCAAAAGTCCAAGCGGACGATTAACCGGGACCTTCCACTGGAGTTCACAGCCGGTGTTCGATAATAATAATAAAAACTTTAAGGAGGTATGGGACTTGCAACCCATGGTACTGGTGAGCTTGACTAACAAGATCCACCCGCATTAAGAAAGTCCTCCACAATTATAACTCAGGATTTCAGGGCCGCTCTCAACATTTGTTTATCCCCCAGACGCTCAGCTCTCATCCTTTCTGCAGTCATTTCTTCTTTCATTCTTATTCCCTTTCTGATGTTCTCCCTCCTCCACACAACATGGTCTATGGCACTTTGTTTCCACGACTCCACCTTAATACCTATATCATTCGTGTCCTAATTGCACACATCTTAATATTGTAGTAGAGATTGGCCTTTTCTTCTTCTTCTGCCTTTCAAGCCCCCAGTGGAGCAGAGGCCCTTCACCAACTCAAGCCAGGTCCTTCTATCCTTTGCTATCGCATGCAGCTCCCTTCATGTCCTCCCCATCTTTCTAACTTCATTCTCCAGCTCCCTTCTCCATGTGCTCTTTGGCCTTCCTTTATTCCTATGCCCCTGTGGGTTTCAGTGCATAGACATTCTAGTAAATAGTTATATTGTTCTCCGGTTTTCTCAGTGTATGTCCTATCTAACCCCATCATCTTTTTAATAAAAAGTCTGGCTCTGTTAGGACCTGACAACGTGACCTTCGAAGCCCAGATATGGCTTATTTGTATGCAGACTTGTGGTTCCTAGCCTCTTGGGCAGATGTACTCTCACTTTGAAGGTTGTCCTCAATTAGTCGACTTCTACAAAACTTGTTGGGGAGCCAGTGGGTCTATTCTTGTTTTCCCCAAAAATGGGGCTCCAAGACCCACACAGGGAGTTCCCTAAACAAAACTACTTACCTACCTTATATGATTGTATTAAATGAAAGTAACATCAGTTTAATTGTTCCATAATGTTTCAGTGATAGCATTGATGGAGCCCTAGAACAGTACGGTTGCCAGCGAGTGGCCATGCTGCGGTCTATTTGTATCAAGGTGGGCATACAACTTCAGTTGAGGGAGTACACGCTGGAGAGCAGAAGTCGAGCAGTTTTCACCGAGGATGATATTGTCAATGTGTTCCCTGTTGTCAAACATATCAGTCCAAGGGTAAGTTGTTTTGTGTGGAGCTTTAATGTAAGCTTAGGTGATTTGCTTCAAGTCAGGCTTTAGTCTAAGGTTAAGTTGATTTTTTTGTGGGTGTATGTCTAACATTAGTCATTCTGTTCCCATTTCAGTGCCTGTTTGGTGATTATCTGTCTGTCTCGCTCTCTGGATGTGTCCATTATAACGACCTCTTCTCTGTCTTGTAACTCTTGATACTAGTGGTTGCCTAGACATGTTTCAAATGGCTTCACTGTCCTTGAATCCATCCCATTTTATGTTCATTATTTGTAATGTAGAACCTGATATAAATGTTAATATGTTCACAAATTTATTGACCTAGTGCGGTGGTTCATAAACTCTTTAGTTGATTGAGCTAAAAATCAGCAGCAGGACGATTTAAACATTTTTTGAGAGCCAAATTTCTTTTCAAGAACCGGGTAAGAACCATGTTTTTCAGAGTCAAAACCGATTTGTGGCTGACTTGTCGAGCCACACTCATGTCGCTGAAGAGCTGCAATTTGTTGACCACTCAATTAGTGAATTGCTAACTTTCTGAGCATGTTGCACTGGAATGAAAATCACATTTATTGAGGCGTGAAATAAATGCTTAATGAGCTATGTTTTCCTCTCCCAGGCAACGGACGCTTTCCATTTCTTCTCAAGTGGACAGAATAAGATCCAACAGGGACTTCTCAGGGAGGGCTATGAGCTGATCAGCGAGGCCTTGAACTTGCTCAACAATGTTTACGGAGCCATGCATCCGGAAATTGCTGCTTGCTTCCGACTGCTAGCGAGGCTCAACTACATTATGGGAGAGTTTGGCGAGGTAACCATTGTGTTGTAACTCCAACTGCTGTAGAACGTATTTTTGAATTTTGTATCCATGTGGCTAAGTCTATGTTTTATTCTATCTCTAATTAGTAACTTGTTCAGTACAGATCAGTAAATAAGAGCCATCTTCTAGTTAAACTAATAATTTTCTGAGAAATTTGGTTCGTTTATTACAGACCATGTGTGCATGTGTTAGTTTTGGGTTGTTTCAAGTCCGGGTTATACTCCTTTCTCTTAAGCATTCTGAGCCCTTAAGGTACTGCATTAGCGCAGTCATTAGGAAATCCAGCTGCGACTTACTGCAGCCCACAGCCGGTGTTCGAAACTGGGCAGTTACCGGGGTTCACCCAGCTTCTAGGAAATGGGTACCAGAATTAACACTCTGGGGTAAATGGAGGAACGTCGCTGTAGCTACAGAGTTACGTGCGGACAGCGACACAGGCGAACAATTCTTATCAGCTGTCTGTACTGGTGGCAGAGCACTTGTGGTTTATAACCGTGTTAATCTCCCGACTTTACCTTTACCTTATTCTGAGCCCTAGAGGTTCATTGCTGCGGATATCTCCTGCCTTTATTCATCCCTAAACATAGTTACATACAATCAGAGACTGTTTGAATATCATCTGAGCACAGATTACATGCTCCCTCTACAGATATAAGTTCTTTGTAAATAGCATATGTGTTCCCTAGATTTATTAGTTACAGTGGTTTGGTGTGGTTAGAAATGTAGGTGTAATTTGAGCACATTCCAGTGCTTGTATTCATTATTTAGCTGCTGCTGATAATGTTTACTGTAACTTGTTCACAGCTGTATGAATAAAATGATGTATGCAAGGAGGGATATTAGATAGGCCTGTGTGCCCAAATCTTAACCTTCTTTAAAATAGTTTGTATACTTGTTTGTTCAGTCATTATGTGATTGGTCTTTTCATTCTATTTGGTGACTCCGAGTGATTATAGTTATGCCTGTGTCTTATCTTCCTGCAATCTGTCGACTATTAGCTGTTAAAAAAAATATAATAGTCACTCAAGCTTGTATTTATCTGATCTACAGGCCATGTCCTACCAGCAGAGAGCTGTGTTGATGAGTGAGAGAGTGCTGGGAATTGACCATCCAAATACTATTACAGAATATGTGAGTATGCAGGCTTTACTCTACTAAAGGGCCGACAGGTTCACCATAATCTTGTACTTTAAGATGTGACTAGTACATCTCCCACTACAAAACATGCAGAGGCTCAAGTATGAGAGCTGTACAGGTGAAGCTTGGCAAGAAATCGGTTCCTGCTACATATGATGATGAGGGTGCCCTATTCTGTTCAGTTATTTCTGTCTTGGGAGGGGGGGGGGGGGTGTCATCGTGATGGGACAGCTAAACACCAGCCAGAAGGTCATGGGTTCAGGTCCTGACAGGGCCAGAGTTTTTTTTAAAATGACAATGGCTCCCAGGTCGACCCAGCCTTGAGTGGGTACCAGGTGCAGGGAAGTAAGGGCGACCGGCGTGATGCTGACCACATCACCCACTAGGTGCCTATAGATCTAGCCCTATATATATGCTCAGTACACTTGAAGTGGTGGCACTTTTGTGTCCTCGAGTTTTTATCGCTTGTGTGATGTCCTAGTGGGGTAAAATGTCCTCAAGGCATGGAAAGGGGTCCTTTACTTTATACTTGGATTTGGTTACATGCTACCTACAGATTTGATGTACTTGTTTGATGTTTGAATGAATCATTCTTTCATCCACAGGCCCACCTTGCCTTGTACTGTTTTGCTAACAGCCAGGTGACCAGTGCCTTGCGACTGATGTACAGAGCACGCTATCTTGCCATCATTTGCCATGGAGAGAACCATCCGGAAGTTGCTCTCATCGACGTAAGTGATGTCTCAGGGGCTTATTGTGGTCATTATTTTCCTACCTAAAAACTACTTAGCATTCAGTCACATTCAGGGAAATAAAGGGATCGAGGAAGGGAGGACGCCCAAATGAAACCCTAAAACGAATGTTCATGGAGAGGTCAAAGCTGCTGGACTGGATTCAATTGCACAGCATAGAAGGAATTGGGGGAATAAACTCCTGTGTGACATATAATGATGAAAACAGTCACATTTGGGTTGGGCCTCACAGACGTTTACAGATTACTGTCTGTTTGTGCTGGTTGCTTTATTCTATTCAGGTGTGTTAGAATTATAGCAACTTCCTTGGATGGAGGATAATGCTCATGTTCTGTCCCTGTCTTTTATTGTGGCCCCTTGCAAGACCCTAAAGAATACCCTCTTTCAAAGGGGTGGGGGGATGGTTGAAAACCTGGTTCATGGACCGTTAGACCTGCGATTCTGTTCTGTTACTGAAGGTAGTGAAAGCGCTTAAGTGAATCTTGTCCCTGGTTATTTGGAGAAAAAAACCTCTGGTGTTTGCATTCCTTATGATTAACCTCTGTTTTTTGTGTGCATTTTTAATGACAATGACAGTTATCTGGCACTGTATTCATCCAGATAGCAAAAACTGGTTAAAAACAAATGTTCTCAACCTTTTTGCACTAGTAGCCCACCAAAATGAAGGGAACATTGTTTCGCAGTTCACCTGATAGCTGTCTGAACAAAGAAACAAATTTTAATGCGTTTGGTGTCACACTTGTTTTGCAGTACATAAGTTATTGGACTGCAGGTTATGACAGGTGCCGCAGTATTACTGTTTCTTCTTCGTCTGAGGATGTAATTGCGTTTGGCCAATTTACAGCATAGCAGGGATATTTGCACCTCTTGACCCATACGTCCAACTTCTGCAGGCATTTGTTGACTGGTTGAGTTATCCCTCCCGGATATTACTGTTTTGTTTTGCTGACCAGGGTTTCTGGGAGTTGTACTTGTGTGTTTCTTATCCTTGAGGCGTTAAATCCAACAAATGGCAAATCTCGGAAGAGGAAAAACTACCTACCGTACTACACTGTTACATTTTTGGGCATAGATTTTTGTCGCCACACCAGGTGTTTTTTTGTGGCCCACAAGTTGGCTGCGCCTTACAGTTGACGAGTGCTGGTTAGAAAGGTTAACAGAAGTGCTTTCCTCTCCACAGAGTAACATTGGTCTTATTCTGCAAGCTGCTGAGGAATACGACTTCTCTCTTCGATACCTGGAACATGCGCTGCAGCTCAATATCAAGTAAGGCACACATTTTTCTTTAGGTTTCTGTTACTGCATCTAAGACTATTGTTATTGAGCCAGGGGTCCTTCTTTTATCCTTTAGCCCTTTTTGTTTTCTGCCCCTGTTGTGGTTTACACCAAACCTACGATATCATGACCTTTCAGCCCAACACAGCCAATTTCAGCTACCCTTATTAGGACTAATTACAGTGTATTTGGCCACCTTTCATGCCATATCAGAGATGAGCCTTTCAGAGCCTTTTTTGTTAATGAAAAGTTACTGAATATTAAGGATAGGACTGAGATGCGGCATTCTGATTAATTTTTGTCTTCATTTTAATAGTCTTAAAACATAGTGCCTGTTTTATGTCCCTAATGAAAACTTGTTGTGTCCTTCTCTATTTTTTCTTTTAATTTTAATGAAGTGTGTGTCAGCGACTTGGAGTAAATGCAATATTAAGTCTTCTTCTGCATCTCCTGAAGACAAATGTACAAGAAAATATGGATGGTAGAGGTGGCCAGATGTTTTTAGTGTTATCCAACCAGACATAAGTAAGAAGATCGGTCATGGGACACGGGAAAGAGTCAGTAATAACACAGTATATTGTTTTTTTCAGACTCACAAAGTATATCACAGAAGGAACTGTTTTAGGTCACTGGCCCCTTATGCTTCCTTTATTTTTTTTTTTTTTTGTTCAAATTGAATCTGCTTACTATTTTGTGTGATTCCAGCTAGTACAAGAAAGCTTCATTGAAATAATTTTTGTTTTTGTTGCCAAATCAGTGATGATCATCATAGAGCCTTTTTTAAATGAAAGAACTTGATTAATAATGATAGGACTGAGATTTGGCATTTTTTTTTATTATTTGTGTCCAGGTTTGGCAGACTTTAAACGGCCTTTATGGACGGGATACCTTTTATATATATAGAGTAAATGTAGTAGCCAGATTATACATATATATATGTGTGTGTGTATATATATATTGTGGTCACTACACTAGAAAGTGACCCTCTTGTATATGTGATCTTCCCAAGTGAAAATATGTTGCTCAGTGTGATAGTCATTTTGTTTTTGCTAGCATGGTAAATTTGCCTCCTGGTCAAATAAGCATAAACTCTTATATACAAGTTATACTTCTTCGGTATTCGACCTTAAAAAAAGGTGATTGGCTAGGATAGCTTTTTGACCCAAAACCTCTATTTTTAGCCGACTCCCGGTTAGTCGCCATTTACAAGATGCTTGGTAAGGGCATTGGGTCTGTTTTTCTCTCTCTGAAAATGGGATGCTGGAACACCAGTTGGGATGTTATAAAAAAAAGATTATAGCAGATGCTGTCGATAGGCATGTACTGTTAGATTTTTATGAATTCTGTTCTAGTTATTGCTGCTGCCAAATCAGTGATGATCATCATAGAGCCTTTTTTAAATGAAAAACATGATTAATAATGATAGGACTGAGATTTGGCATTCTTGAGGATTTGTGTCCAGGTTTGATGAAGTCAAAATTTTCTTGTCTCAAACATTTTTATGTTTATTTTTCATTAATTTTTTATTTTGGCCAGTGCAGTTACTCATAATGAAAAAAATATGTTGAGATCAATAGTTCATAGTTCAAATTAGAGATCATCCTCATCGAGAACATAAGTGCTCGGATCTCCTCCTGAGTGTGCCTCCAGGTGTTTGTAGGCTTACAACTGACATTCTGTTCTGGTTGATGTTATGACAGGTGGCTCCCGCATGGTTTTTCTGTCTCGTGGCTTCAGTTGGTACACCCATGGTAGAGAGCAATACATATAAGCTAAAATATAAATGTTTAATTAGAAAAGGACTCTCCTGTGTATGTGAACCTTTCCGGTGAAGTGGTCAGACCTTCTTGTGTATGTGAACCTTCCCGGTGAAGTGGTCAGACCTTATGTGTGAAGTGAAGACCTTCTTGTGTATGTGAACCTTTCCCGGTGAAGTGGTCAGACCTTCTTGTGTATGTGAACCTTCCCGGTGAAGTGTGTCAGACCTCTCTTGTGTATGTGAACCTTCCCGGTGAAGTGGTCAGTTATGTGTATGAACCTTCCTGGTGAAGTGGTCAGACCTTCTTGTGTATGTGAACCTTTCCGGTGAAGTGGTCAGACCTTATGTGTATGTGAACCTTCCCGGTGAAGTGGTCAGACCTTCTTGTGTATGTGAACCTTCCCGGTGAAGTGGTCAGACCTTATGTGTATGTGAACCTTCCCGGTGAAGTGGTCAGACCTTGTGTATGTGAACCTTCCTGGTGAAGTGGTCCCGGTGAAGTGGTCAGACCTTATGTGTATGTGAACCTTCCCGGTGAAGTGGTCAGACCTTATGTGTATGTGAACCTTCCCGGTGAAGTGGTCAGACCTTATGTGTATGTGAACCTTCCCGGTGAAGTGGTCAGACCTTATGTGTATGTGAACCTTCCCGGTGAAGTGGTCAGACCTTCTTGTGTATGTGAACCTTCCCGTGAACAGACTTCCCGGTGAAGTGGTCAGAACCTTCCTGGTGAAGTGGTCAGACCTTCTTGTGTATGTGAACCTTCCCGGTGAAGTGGTCAGACCTTCTTGTGTATGTGAACCTTCCTGGTGAAGTGGTCAGACCTTCTTGTGTATGTGAACCTTCCTGGTGAAGTGGTCAGACCTTCTTGTGTATGTGAACCTTCCTGGTGAAGTGGTCAGACCTTCTTGTGTATGTGAACCTTCCTGGTGAAGTGGTCAGACCTTCTTGTGTATGTGAACCTTCCTGGTGAAGTGGTCAGACCTTCTTGTGTATGTGAACCTTCCTGGTGAAGTGGTCAGACCTTGTGTATGTGAACCTTCCTGGTGTGAAGTGGTCAGTCAGACCTTCTTGTGTATGTGAACCTTCCCGGGGAAGTGACCTTGTGTATGTGAACCTTCCTGGTGAAGTGGTCAGACCTTGTGTATGTGAACCTTCCTGGTGAAGTGGTCAGACCTTGTGTATGTGAACCTTCCTGGTGAAGTGGTCAGACCTTGTGTATGTGAACCTTCCTGGTGAAGTGGTCAGACCTTCTTATGTATGTGAACCATCCTGATGAAGTGGTCATGCCATTTTCATACTTTTGGTTATGGTGAGTTTGTTTTCAGGCTTATAATTGGCACCTTTCTATCTTTTAGACTAGTGTTCTATTGTGCTCATGGCAGACCTTTCCATAGCAAAGCATGGGCAGTATTAAAGAAACCATGCGTTGCTCTCGCAGCATGACCTCTCTCCCTCAGCCTGCTTTGTTAACTTTAGAGGAAAGGTGACACTAATATGTGTAAAGCACAGCTGCCAGATCAGAAGAGCAGTGCTTAGTCAGTCTGACGGAGCTTCATTACTAGATGGGCTACCAGGGTTGAGGGCATAGTCTGCCCTGCCATAATTAACACTTGAGTTTTTGAGATGCATTCACTCATCCTAGGATAAGTTTTAGTCTTGGTCCTTCAGTTCACAAATAAAGTAATTTTTTTCTTTAAAGAATCTACAAGTTAGTACTCTGTGCAGCATTGATAATTTTGGAGGACAGTTGGTAATAATTCTACTTATTAGTGTTCAGAAAGATTTGCAGAAATCATTGCTACTCCATGTCGAGCCAAATCATCATTTAAATGAAAAAGAAATAATTAACCAAGGATAGGACTGAGATTTGGTATTCTTCGTGATTTTTGTCCAAGTTTAAAAAGCCTGAAAATGTGTTGCATAACTGAGATGTTTAGATAAAAAAATAATCTGCTTAGTATATTTCTCACTATGCTGAAATATGCAAACCCAAGTATACAAGTACATGGTCAATTGAAACTTCACTTTGTATTCTACATCCTGAAACTTCTCTACCCTCCTGTATTCTACCTTCATGTAAAGCCGCCTTGTTGTATTCATGAGTCTACACCATGTAGTTAAGAAGACACTCTAGACCAGTGTTTCCCAACATTTGTGTGTGCCATGCCCCACCTTAACCTTTTTACTAAACGTCTCAACTTATACTCAGGTTGAGTCCATTTTCAAATTCCCCCCAAGAGTAAAATCGCCCTCATGTGCAATTTTGTAATGAAATAAAAATGATTGTCAGTGACAGGGACTGAGATTTGGGATTTTTTTTTCCATTTTTGAGGAGCAAGACAATTTCTTGTTGAATGGATGTCATTTTTTAAAACTATGTTTGTACCAAGATTTGGCATTGATAATTTTGTCCATTTTTGAGAGGGCTGACTAAACATTTCTTGCTGCATAAATGTCATTTTATTATTTATAGTTGTTCCTGTTTGCCTTATCAGTGATGATATTCATAGAGCAATTTTTTTAATGAAACAAAAATGATTGCCAATGATAGGACTGAGATTTGGCATTGTTGATTTTGTCCATTTTTGAGGAACCAGAAAATTTCTTGTTGAATAGATGTAATTTTCTTAACTATATTTGTACCTAGATTTGGCATTGATAATTTTGTCCATTTTTGAGGGGACTGACAGAACATTTCTTGCTGAATGAATGTCATTTTCTTATTTATAGTTGTTCCTGTTTGCCTTATCAGTAATGATATTCATAGAGCAATTTTTTGAATGAAACAAAAATGATTATCAATGATAGGACTGAGATTTGGCACTGTTGATTTTGTTCATTTTTGAAGAGCCAGAAAATTTCTTGTTGAATAGAGATGTAATTTTTTCATTATTAGTTCCTGTTTGCCGTATCAGTGATGATATTCATAGAGCAATTTTTGAATGAAACAAAAATGATTGTCAATGATAGGACTGAGATTTGGCATTGTTGATTTTGTCCATTTTTGAGGGGGCTGACTGAACATTTCTTGCTGAATGAATGTCATTTTCTTATTTATAGTTGTTCATATTTGCCTTATCAGTGATGATATTCATAGAGCAATTTTGTGAATGAAACAAAAATGATTGTCAATGATAGGACAGATTTGGCATTGTTGATTTTGTCCATTTTTGAGGAACCAGAAAATTTCTTGTTGAACAAATGTAATTTTCTTAACTATGTTGTACCT